AATAAAAAGTCACAATACCCATGTAATATTATATTATAACATTTTTGCCTTTTTTGTATTTCAGCAAAAAGTGTACCCGGTAAAAGTAGAGAATGGCATAGTGTCAGTATTATATCAACATGAAATAGGTTTACATCCATTCCTGTAAACACATTTTATAACACAAGACAATAATTAACAGATCGATAATACCGACATCTTAGAGTAATAATGGAACCCATGTATAAATTCATGTGATACAGAGGGACGAACATTTGCATGGCTGTTGGAAACATTTTCGAGTCCCTATTAAGAATTCGTCAATATTCTGATTACTGCACTTTGTCGTCAAACCAACATCGTGACAGACAATATAGAACAATATTCGATATACTGTCTTCTTCAATTTAACTCTTCATAGATATGTGAATCAATTCATTTTCATAACCGATTTTTTAACTATTAGTTTGTTGAACATGTTTGTGATTGGTGATTATTGGCATTTAATGAAAGTGAGGTCAATGTATACGCAACGGTCCATGATAAATCTAAACAGTCTCCAAAGAACCGAGAAAGGGAGAGAGAGAGGGAGAAATGGGTTTTAACGGCCACTTGACACAAACTTAGTCATTTTGGGACTAACATATGGTTCAGTTTTATTTCGATAATTCGCATGCACGTAGGGGTCTTTAGCAGTGGGTGGAAACCGAAGGACTCGAAGAAAACCCACAAGATTGGACAGGCGACCCTACTCCTTGTCACGTACAACCGGGTAATCGAAACCAAGTCAGTTGACTCAATGACAGTCCTTACGATACAGCGAGCACGTGCTAACCATTTGGTCCATCCAAACCCCCTGCCTGTGTAAGGAAAAGGGTTCCATGTGGGTTGTAACTTCGAGCAGTCGATTCACTGAACTCGACATAATTTTTATTTAACAATATATATAAGTTACATGTAATATTATTTTTTATTTAAAGGGACGTGCTCTGCACACACACACACACCATTTGTTTCCTATTTAGTATATAAAAATCACTAGAACTAGCTTTTAATGTACAGATAGAATAGCATTTAAAACCATGGCGAAACATTACCTTTCTTTCAAAATCGACAAACCCGTATTAAATGTGTAAATATGAAGACGATACAATGGGCACGCATAAAACGGGTGTGACCAGGCCTGTAGCGAGCGGAGGGGCAGTGATTGGGGGGGGGGGGGCATACCCGGCACAGTCTACAGGCCTGTGTACGACACCCCCGAAATTATGTTCGACATGCGTGACTTTAACAGTTTGAACAGGAAACTACGAATATTATTATCTTGATAAGATGTGTTGTGATATATTATTATTTTGCATTATGATACCATATTCACGACAATATTTTTTAATTGTTTATGATTGTAAAAACAGTAATCTGTGTAGATTTAATAAGATTATATGTATATATATTAGTAAAATTAAATCAATTAAGTTGTACTTGTTATACGACTTATTATTGTAATTATCTATGATTAATGGCAATTTGGTCCATGTTACGCAATTTTGTTACGTCTTGGTCGGTGATTATACACATCTGCTCTTATATGTGTGAGTATAATTATCGTCCTCGACGGTCTTTTGTATCTTTTTAAAGGGGGATGGAGGTGATTTAAATACGATCGTCATTTAATGATTTAATTTAAAAATGGTGAAATGCTGCTAAGTCTTGATTCACAAGTACCGTAGCTACGATAATAAACAATCTATTCCACATCTTGCCAAAACTTTAAACAGTAATAACTTCTCTCAGAATAAAGTAATTTGAATGACATTTTCAATATATTTATTTTGCTTTATCTATTTTTGAACCATTATAGCAAGAATGTTCGGCTCTTATCTAAATCTTACATAAATGCATCTTTAATTTTTGATATTCAATATATTTCAGGGGCACACAACTGCGCGTATTGATTTTGTAACAATTTCTGAATCCGACGTGTATTAAATTTCCATCCTCCATTCCTTCTACTAATTCTCTAGTAATTAACTTATCGATACCAGAGCACCAGTTGGTTTGTTGCGAAGTAAAACATATTAATTAGATATTGATTCTGTCTTCATTAGCCCAGTCGTCGCAGTATATCTAAGATATTGATTCGTGTAACATGCGTTCAAATAGCATATAATTTTTCTATCGGGATCTCTTTCCATTCGAATGTCTTGAAATAAGAAGTCCTGTAAATACACTTGTATTTCAGAAAACAATATCCAACAATTACATTGGGATATCGGTTGGTTCGTGTCCAGTCCAGTATGTCTTCGTCGCTTTTGTGTAAATCTTGTTGGAATGAATATTGAATATTAATTCTCTTGTATAAAATGATTAATGTCCGAAAACATATTCGATGACAATTTTAATTGAAGACAGTTTTTATTAACCGATGCCCTTATGTCACCTCATGAATTCATTCAACCGAATGCAGGTCCTTGACGTTTTGATTTGTAGACATCCGTGGATCGTTTGTATATCCAATATCCATAAAATCATTCAATAGTTAGAGCAGTTTTTTCCCCAAATACCCTATCGTGGTCAGAAGGTCCGGATTTAACCGACACTAATGCTTACGATACTTATAATTCTAGAGCACATATCAGAAACCGTTCAATATATCAAAACCCGTACACATCAACATGTTATAACAGTGTCGTTTGTGAATTCGAAAATTCCGGAGCACCTCTCGGAAATAATTTTTTTTTTTTGAAAAAAAAAATACTATTTCGTGTTCATAAATCTAGAGTCAAGTGTTCGATCCCTGCATTTTCCGGTATGGTTCCCACTTGTCAGTATATAATGTAGGCTGTCTAGTCGTTTGGATGGGACGAAAAACCGAGGTCCCATGTAAACATTGGCATGCACGTAAAGATCCCTTGACAGTTGGAATTTGATATAAGAGTAGGCCGTAGTGCCGCTGTCCGGGCAAAATTTCCCTCTCAACACATTGTATGGCGTATGTCCGTCTTCATTAGTCCAGGTTAGGAGCAGAACAGTAGGACGTTAAACCCCATTTCATTTCATACATCTAGATAAAACTCAATATTTGTCCACAATAACTGGGTAGCATAATTGTGATATATTATTTGCGATACATTTTTATTTCTACACGTAGTATGTGGTTGTTGTTTCAATGGCATTTATAACAATTGAATTCCATAGAGCTGTGTCCTGTTCAACACAGAGATTGGCAGTGTGTTGATTTTTTTAAATCCATTACACTAGACATATGGAAGAACCCAATCCAAATTCTGAATGATGCATCAATGTTATGCATATTTATTGTCCCCATCACCAAATGCTTGTAAATGCTCTACATTAGAATTGAGATTATTCTTTCAAACTAGTATGATTTCGTTGCGTGTTGAATAAATTAGTGTTTCTGGTGGCATCGGTTCAAATTGAAACTATCACTTCTAACATTATATTGATAAAGAGTACCATAAATAATAAATAGAGAATCTCCTATGAGTCTTTTTTGATATCAAAAAAGACGAGTAGGAGATTTTATTTATTACCCAATCCCTTCTTACATGCACAAATAAATAAATATTCTTTGCTATAGATTTCACTTTTACTGACCTGATTACATTACGGTTTAGTGATATACTATTCAAAAAAAGTAGGGGATATTTGGTTTTGGGGGCATAATACTAAAATATGCAAATGACTACGAAAAAAGTCACTATAGAACCTAACAGAAGAAACATTTCCAGTTACATGTGACGCCCAAACGCACCAATAGCTACCGCATGGAATGCAGGTGATGCTTTGGATCATCATGGGGGTCCAACCCAAGATTTGCACGACTCTGACTTTGAATGTTACAGTCATTGTGGCATTGAATTCCAGGGTGGAAACATCAGTTTAATTGTTTTAGTGACCAGAAAACAAATTTTGATATGCGTCGGCTTACCCAAAATGAAAGGTTACGTGCCCTTGGCATGCTACAGATCGGCACAACACAGGCGGTTGTGGCGCGGACGATGAATGTTTCTCAGTCTGTCATAAGCAGGCTATGGTCCAGATACCGTGATACACAATCTGTACAGGACAGACCACGCTCAGGTCGACCAAGGGCGACAACTCAAGCCCAGGATCGATTTATCCGTACCTTGGCCTTGAGAAATCGTGTCATCACAGCAAATCAGATCAGCGCTCGTCTTCAAACAGACACTGGTGTGAGAGTGAGTGGCCAGACGATTCGGAATCGACTGCATAGGGGTCACCATCGCGCCCGACGTCCTCGCGTGATCCCTTGTTTGAGAGATCATCACATTCAGGCAAGACGTCGTTGGTGTAGGGATCGTCAACACTGGGATAATCGACGCTGGAGCAATGTGATGTTTTCAGATGAGTCAAGGTTCACTGTTGATTTTTTGGACAGACGTAGGAGGGTGTGGTGTCGTCGAAACGAGCGCTTCCAAGACGTTAACGTCATCAGACATGATCGATTTGGGGGTGGTTCCGTTATGGTGTGGGGAGGCATCACTGTTGCTGGAAGAACGGCTTTACATGTTGTTGCAGGGCGTGTTACAGGCCAGTACTACCGGGACAACATCTTGGCAGTCCATGTTGTGCCGTTCGCACGACGTCATGGCCGCCGTTTCATCTTCCAGGATGACAACGCAAGATGTCACAGGGCCAGGATCGTTACAGGTTACCTCCAACAACAGAACATCACCACATTACCTTGGCCAGCACCGAGTCCCGACCTCTCCCCCATCGAGCATGTCTGGGACATGCTTGGACAGAGGTTACGTCAACGTCAACAACGTCCTGCCAATGTCCAAGAACTTGATGCTGCGTTGCAACAGGAATGGGACAATCTGGACCAAAAAGACCATAGACGTCTCATAAGGAGTATGCCACGTCGGATCAATGCTTGTTTGGCAAACAGAGGAGGATTTACCCGTTACTGACTTGGTTGTGATGCTGTGGTAACTTTGCTGTTTGACCCCGGGTATCATTTTACCCTTATAATGGTTAGTCTGTGCCTTACTTAGTCTAACGATCATTTGGAATAAATCGATGAATGTGAACTTCATTTCATTTTGTCATTTGTTTCTTCGTCAGTTTCATTAGGTGACTTTAATAACACTTAAAAATCAAATATCCCCTACTTTTTTTGAATAGTATATATTATTTTGTGACAGCAGTTCAACCATTGCAAAGCCCTTTATATTGACCCAGTGTTTCCATCAAGGCCAATAAAAATAGTTCCTTTTTAATAAGAAAGAAGATACATTTAATAAAAATGAACTGTTCTTTGAAAATAAAAAAAGTAGTTCCTTTTTGATTGACCAATCAAATTCATGTAAAGCATATCTCCTAAGCGATATCTACTGTAGAATGTATTATTGGGTGATAGAAGTAATTAAGGGCATAACAAAATAAATTTTATATTAAAAAATGTATAGAATATTTTAATTCTGATTTTGCATAAGAGAACAATACGTTGAACATCTTTAAACATTTTGATTAATAACACTAACATGTGATCAATGAATTACAAAAAAAACCCCCCTAAACAATACAAAACATAAGACTAGCACATTTAAGTGAGACAAAAAAAATACATTTGACCTAACACACTTAATCAGATAAGAATGAGATACACAGACTTAACTTTATAGACCTTAAAATGTAAATATCAGATGCTTCCATCATTTATGACAGTTATCATGAAAGTAACAATACAAAAGCACCTAAAACAAAGGACATTTTCAGGAACAGTTCACAGACAGTAGACCCTGGGAGAGGAATGTATCTAATTTTAAACAGAGTTCAATATAAAGATAAGTGAATGATGTATCACACTGATATCATTGTGGTTAAATATAAAAAAGACCACATGAGCTAGAAAACAGAATTTCATAATGAATGATAGTAAGTAAATCATTTAAAATGTACATTATGTAAACATAAATAAGGTCAACAATAGATCTTGTAATAACTGTAATACTGGCTAGCTTTAGATTGGTTTTATATTCTGGGAATATGTTGACTATTTTCTGATCAACATCACATCGTTAAATCGAGGGCAGGCTTTCTAAAAATGCATGTCATGAACTGTAACCTCAACATGTTTCCTATTCAAATTACTAGGTCTCATATAAAATATACAAATAATATTAAATGCTAGCTAAGCAAGAGACTATTTTTCTTAAGTTATTTATGTGATAGTCTAGACATGTAATAGGACAAGACATCTTCAATTGCGTGGGACAAAAAGATTGTTGAATAAATATCTGGGGTACATTTTAGAATAAAACTTACATGCATTTTTTTCATTTTGAACAGTGTAGTTGTTAGTTAGGATATTTTTAATTACACAGTTAAAACTGCTAATTGCCAGTTGAGTAATTTTGTGGAAGTTGAACCTTTAGAATGTTACACTCCCGATTACAAAGATAGGATGAAGTGGAAATTTCGCAACAGGTGATAAAAATGGGATATGGTCAAAACTGCTGTAAACCAAATAGTCAAAATTCATAAAAAAATATTTACCATTGGATTCATAAAAAATAAGAATTGCTTTTTAGAGCCATTATGAATAATCTAGGACATTTTCAACCTATACTGTTTCATCTATATCCTATATAAACAAGCTGGCACCACCTATCCGATAAAAAATTTTCATGGGCCTCTTTCTTACCTGTTAGAAACAAAACTGGGAGATTAAAGAACGTTGATATATCTTGTCCCTTAATTAAATGTAAATAATCAATTTGAGTGCTTTTTGGAGTTGCTTAAGCCATGAAGATTTAGACGTAGTTGGAAAAATGCATATGACGACCAATTGCTTTAAGTGAAATGGATCTTGATGTGTTAATTCAAGTGGGAGGGATATCTCTCTACATTGATAAATATAGCTTAGAATTAACCAGGGGTGAAATATGGACATAGTCAAATCTGAATTGAAAAAAAGAAAATCTTCTTTCCCACTGGGAGCTTACGCTCCAATAATACAAATATATTTGAGTTAATCAAATAACTGTTTTTTTTTAAGAAGTTGTCTTCGCACTTGAATGAACAATATGAAAGATTAACAATGATTATTATATAAAATTAGTCCCTGTATAATATCAATATGGTCAGCTATATTACGTATCTCCTGTCATTATAGCTAAGAACTCTTCTTCATTAACTGAAATATAATATATATAACATAATTATAATAGTTCATATCATTCACATTATTTAAATGCTGCATCTTCTAAATTATAGAATGTGTGATTGTGTGTGTGTGTGTGGGTGTGCAAGGGGGAGGGCGGGGATTGTAAGGTGTGTGTGTGCCTGTTCGTTTAATTAATGTACTATAGTTGATCCTATAATAATTGTTCATATGTTATACCTGCATTAATTTAGTTAGTGAGGTATCATGTCATTATTTCTCATGCTAATGATGGTTTAGGGGTAATAATAGATATCTATTATAGCTAATTAAAGGGGCATTGCTTAAGATTTAGATGCGTAAGAGCTGGCTGTTCTCACTGTAATATTTCAAAAATACATGATGCAAAATGAATATATTGAAAATGCCATTCAAATTACTTTATGTTTTGAGTGAAGTTATCAATGGTTGTAGTCTGGACAACATGTGTGCATTGACTGCAACCACCTTATTGGTCATTTGAGTATTAGCCTTGCTTCTCCATTTTTAAATTAAATCATCAAGTGGCCAAATCGTTCTAATTTACTTAAAATCGGAGCCATCCGATGGCATCGAGAGTTTATTATGGTCGTCATGCTAATGTCTAATCGATAATTTATATAACATAAGTCCCAAAGAAAGACCCGCAATAAGCAGATTTAGCTCAATTACGCAATGCCGTTTTTCATTTGTTTGTTCGTTCGTGGAGTGATATTGCAGACTATTACATAATGCCTTTTTAATGAATGTCAAACAATAAGGATGTTGATAACATGTTTACCACAATCTTGCTTCCTATATTGCTTGTAAGATAAAAGTGACATCCATGTTCACTATTATTAGATCAGTTTATTTCCATTACACATATCATAATTTCAAATAAAAACGATTGGTTCCCAGGCAATGAAACATACACCCACAACAGCTATGTCATTTGGGCAGTCAACAAGTGTTTGTTATCGCGTATTTTTTCTTTTGTCAGTAATGAGAACATTTACAACACATGAAAATCTGATCAAGAGTAATAATCCATGAGGTAATTATCAGAAAACATTAGAATTTGTTTCGATTGTTTGTCTCATGACCCTAAATAATTTATATTAACTTTAGCCCCTAGAGTGAATGAATGAATAAAATGGAGTTTTAGACTCAAGAGTGCCCACAAGATTTTTCAAAGTGATCAAGGGCTTTAACTCTGGCAGTAATTATTGGAAATCGTTGAAAATCAATAGGCCCCTTCGTCTCATGGCCATAAACACTGTGTATAAATTTAAAGTCAATCAGATATTAACTTTAGCCTCTAGAATGTCAACAAGATATTTCAAGGAGATCAAGGGCTATAACTTTGGCAGGAACTATCAGAAATCGCTGAATATGACTAGGCGTCTTCATCTCATGACCTTAAACAATTTGTATAAATTTAAAGTCAATTGGATATCAACTTTATCCTCTATTGTCCACTAGATTTTTCAAAGTGTTCAAGGGCCATAACTCTGGTAGTAATTATCGGAAATCGCTGAAATCAATACAATATTTCAACTTATGACCTTAAACACTGTGTATAAATTTATAGTCAATCGGATATTAACTTTAGCCTTTAGAGAGCCTCCACAAAATTTTTCAAAGTGATCAAGGGCCATAACTCTGTCAGTAATTATCCGAAATTGCTGCAAATCAATAGGCTTTTTCATCTCATGACTTTAAACAATGTATAAATTTAAATTCAATCGAATATTAACTTTAGCCTTTAGAGCGTCCACAAACAATTGTGGACGCCGGATGAGGGTGACGACAATATATGACCACATTTCAATGTGGGCATATAAAAAGATGAGATTGTAATTAGGTTTGAGGGAACATATCTTAAATTATTTATAAATGTTTATTTCATATCATTATAAAGCAGGCCTGCTGCTACTTACTCTCTCCATCTCCATCCCTGTCAAATTCATCTATCATTGCTCGAAGTTCTTCATCTGTCATATTCTCTCCTAATTCTCTATAAAATCAACATAGAAAATTTACATTTTACCTGAAAATTACTCCTTTCATACTTATTAAACTACTATTAATTTTAGTCTGACAAAACATTGGAATTATTGAGCATTTTAGAGACCAGAGCATCACTAACGCTGCACCAAAATAAATAGTTGCTGTCTTTACGATATAAGGAATAAATATGCGAAGTTCCAAGATGATCTATTCAGAAATGCAGCTTGCAGACAATAAACACACAAATTGGGTGTGACTCTGCCCCTGGGTGTCGGGACATGCACCAAAATCAATAGTTGCCATCCTTAGGCTATAAGTAATAGATATAAGTAATAAGAGTCGTGGCCTGTAGGCAACACACAGACACACAAAGAAAACATGGGTGTGGCTCTGCCCCTGGGGGTTGGGCAATCACTAAAAAACAATAGGGTTCATCCTTAGGGTATAAGGAATAGGTGTGCAAAGTTTCAAAAGGATCTGTTAAGAATTGAGGCCTGTAGGCGAAACACAGGATGCACAAAATTGGGCGTGACTGTGTCACGGGGGTTCGGGGATGCACCAAAAATAATAGAGGTCATCCTTAGGGTATAAGGAATAAGTATGAAAAGTTTTCAAGATGATTGATTAAGAATTGCGGCCTATAGGTGACACACAGACACACAAAAAGAAAATGGGCGAGGCTCTGCCCCCTGGGGGGAGGGCATGCACCACAAACAATAGGGATGTACCTTAGGGTATATAAGGAATAAGTATGAAAATTTTTCAAGATGATCGATTAAGAATTGTGGCCTGTAGGTGACAGACACACAAAAAGAAATGGGCGTGGTTCTGCCCCTGGGGGTTGGGCATGCACCACAAACAATAGGGATGTTCCTTAGGGTATAAAGAATAAGTATGCAGAGTTTCAAGATGATACGATAAGAAATGCCGCCTGTAGACGACAAACAAACAAATACAAGAAATGGGCATGCACCAAAAACAATAGGGATCATCCTTAGGGTATAAGGAATAAGTATGTAAAGTTTCAAGACAATCACTTAAGAATTGCGGCCTGTAGGCAACACACACATATACATGTATATGACAATGTAAATTGAGGACTTTGACGGGAATTTGTGTATGGTGAACACCAACAACCGAGCACACACACTCTCACCATCACACACACTCTCACCATCCGAGGACGTTACAAGTGTACCTGGTATATCAATAATATAAATTGAGTGGGTTCAACACTCTATATCCGAGAACAGGCCTCCTTTGACCACAGGAGCAGTCCACTGAAAGAACATTATTTTATTGATTAAGCCACTTCAAACTTATAATTTTCTAAACCAATCTTACTGAGGTCTTACAGACTGTATGTGAAAAATCGAGGACTTGACATTCCTTGTGGTCTATAACCTGTAAATAACTACGTTTTTGTCCCCCCTTTGACCACACATGAAAAAAAAAAAAGACAATGTAACTGTTTATAATTAATGTGTGGTGCAATATCGCGATAGAACAATTATTTCTTAATGTGACCAACCGCGGACGCACATTATGTTTCAATACTGACAAAGGGAGATGAGATGATCAAATAACCTACTTAGGCTTCAATATGTACAGTAAATGGACAGTAAGTAACAACTACATTCTTTTCAATAATTCCATGAATTGGACGGTAACTTCATGGGTTATGGCCCGTGACTGTAAGAAAAATTGTGTTTTAGCTCGTGGACACAATTTTTTTTAACCCATTTTGATGAAATTTAAATTATTATAAATATGTTTATGACCCAAAGATCTGGGTTCCTTTTGATATTGTTGCATATCAGACCATAACTTCCTTGATTATGGACCCCAATTGCATGAAAAAATGTGCTTTTAGCTTGTGGGCACACTAGAGATAACAATCTCAATTTGATTTTAAAAATTGTTTAAATATATCACTGTTACACTACACCATAATTACAAACCAACAAAATGGTCGCTCCCCTGTACACAAATAGTGTAAAAATATGTAACACCAAGGTTTTGGGCCCTATAGAGGTCACAATTTTTTTTCCGATTTTGATGAAAATTAAAATGTATTTTTATATCCCAAAGAACTTGATTCCCTTTGATATTTGTGCTTATCGGATGGTAACATCAAGGATTATGGCCCTGATTGTACAAAAAATCACCTTTTTTTTTAGCTTGTTCTCCTTCCATCTCATGCAAAATGTGGGCCTATCTTTATATGGCAACCACTTGTTTTATTGTTTTAATCTACACTGCTCAAAAAGGCAAGAAGAGATATGTTACTGTCATTATGATGAGATCATTTTACATATTTACTGGTTTTATTCATTTTAAGTGGTTCAATATTCCAAAAAATTTCGAACTGATTAAGGTGATTTCATTAAAAGTTTTGCTTTACTCAACATATTTTTAAAGAAAAGCTTTGACCAGAGGCAAGCTCATGGTTGACTACAGATCATGTCAATCCATTGTGGTTCCATTTTTTGCTTTGTAATGCTTGCCACTATTAGCTCCTCTTGTAAGTTAGACATAGCTAAAGCAAGACCTACACATAATAATGATCCATTTTATTTTCAAGATCGGGTTTGTGGTCTAAACGGACATAATGCAACCAACCAACCAACAGATAATTTACCTGGCAACTCTTCTTAAATTTCTAAGATTTATTTTTCCGGAGCTGTCATCATCAAATAACTTGAAAGCTTTAACAATTTCTTCTTGGGGATCTCTTTCAAGCATCATATCTGTCACTTTAAGTAGATAATATAAAGAATTATAGTTGATTTGATATTAAAAATTGTGACTTCTAGAGGATCCACAATCTTGGTAGTACATACTTTTACACTATTTGTATACAAGTAATGGTCATTTTGTTTAGCAGTTTGAGTCAGATTTTTACGAAATTCGAACCCAATCTCCATTGATGTGTAACAGTGATATATTTAAAAAAAAAATTGAAAATTGAATACAAATTGTGACCTTCAGCGGGTCTACAAGCTAAAAACGTGATTTTCGAACAATCAGGGGCCATAATGCAGGAAGTGTCATTCGGATATGTGCGATTATCGAACGGAACCAAGATCTTTGTGATATAAACATAAACTTGAAGTTTCATCAAAATCGGATTAAAATTGTGGCCTCTAAAGGGTCCACAACCTTGATATTCGAACTCAACCATCATTAGGGTGTAATGGTGATATATTCAAACATTTTTTAAATCCGATAAAAATTGTGATGGACGGACAGAAGGATAGGGGCGTATAAAAATGCCAATGTTAAATTTGTCGTTTTTGCATTGGGGAGATTACCACATTACACATCTGCATAAAACATTTTGAAAAGTCTACCTCAATTAGAAGTTAAAAGTTAAAGTGTCCCATAAAGTTTGATGGAAAGGCAGACACGGAAATGAAACGGGGGTTCAAAATCCTGTTGCAGACTGACACACAAACAAACCCATCTTAATAGTTTTGATTACTTTAAAAGGTGAGGGGTGTTGGGGCGTCAATAATATTTTATAAATTAATTATGTCTTCTTTGAGCGGCATTTAGCAATTGACATACGTAATACAAAAACATAATATGGAACACAATTACTATTTTATTTAAAGCGACGTTTCGTCGCTTTAAATAAAATAGTAATTGTGTTCCATATTATGTTTTTTATTAATTATGTTTATTTTCTACTGATACAACATTTGAGGCTTTTTTAATCTCTTGAAAATTACAAAATTGTGAAAGCTTAATCTCTAAAGAAACAAGCCAACAGTGAGGCTGATGTCCCCCGCCGAAATAGGAAAATAATTAGAGGACACATATAAAAATCAAATTGCGTATCGCTCTGCTTACCCTGAGCAGAAAATGCTCATTATCAAACTTAGTCAAGGTATTACTGTAATGAAACTATACACCAAGTTTCATCAATCTCACTTAATTAGAACTAAAGTTATCGTGTCCCAAAGCATCAACCAATCAAATTGCTTATCTCTGCTTACCATAAGCGGAAAATGCTCATCTTCGAACTCCATCAAGGCATTGACCTAATCAACACATACACCAAGTTTGAACATTCTAGCTCAATTAGGAAGAGAGTTATCGTGCCCCAAAGTATCAACCAATCAAATTGCTTATCTCTGCTTACCCTAAGCGGAAAATGCTCATCTTCGAACTCCATCAAGGCATTGACCTAATAAACACATACACCAAGTTTGAACATTCTAGCTCAATTAAAAGTTATCGTGTCCCAAAGCATCAACCAATCAAATTGCTTATCTCTGCTTACCCTAAGCGGAAAATGCTCATCTTCGAACTCCATCAAGGCATTGACCTAATCAACACATACACCAAGTTTGAACATTCTAGCCCAATTAGGAAGAGAGTTATCGTGTCCCAAAGCATCAACCAATCAAATTGCTTATCTCTGCTTACCCTAAGCGGAAAATGCTCATCTTCGAACTCCATCAAGGCATTGACCTAATAAACACATACACCAAGTTTGAACATTCTAGCTCAATTAGGAAGAGAGTTATTGTGTCCCAAAAAGTGTGACGGACAGACAGACGGACAGACAGACGGACAGACAGACAGACGGACGAACCCATTTTAATAGTCCCCTGCTTTCTTCGAAAGGCGGGGGACAAACAATAGTTCAAAACTGGATTAATTCTGTTTAGTATTACAAAGCATAATTTGTCAACATTAGTTTAGTCATTCTCTACAGACAAAATAAACAGGACATATGTTCAAAAGAAGCTAGCACCATAAAACTAAATTCTTTCGATGCGCCTCTTTTTAATCCGATTGAATCCATGCTGTTTAAATATTGATTTTAGTGTGGATCAAGAATGGAAAACCTCAATATATTGTCCGAAAAATGCAAATGACAATCAGAGCTTTTAATGAAAGTGGGTTCCATTTAAATCCTTTTACTCACACATAACTTTACTAATAAAGGTACTTACTGACTTCATTGAAATCCTCAAAAGTGATTTTTCCACTTCCTTCTCTATCATAGTCACGTAAGATTTTAAGAACATCAGCTTTTTTCACATCAAATCCCAATGCCCTCATAGCCACCTTTATAACAAAAACAATGAATAAACAAATCCATACATGTGATTTGACAACTCTTATTTTCTGGCCTCTGCCAAAATCTTCTTAAACAGCCCTATATATTTTAAACTATCTTTAGCCATTTTTTTACAAACTATATCATCAGATATATTTTTTTGTAGTATAAATTATTTATGGAATTACTGTAAAACAAGAAATTAATTTGTTAAAAGTTACCAGTAGCATTAATTTCAATATGCATTTCAATCCTGTAAAATAACAAAACATGTGGTGTACATAACCTGTTGTACAAATTTAGCTCAGAATAAATGCCTCCAAACAAAAAGGTTATCATCAGTGCCTCATAAGATTGGTGGCTAATTTATGTAACTGTATGTAATTACATGTATCTGGTAAGTATGTGTATATGACTGGTCAGATAAATTTCAAAATGAAATGAAATGGGATTTAACGTCCTACTGTTCCACGCCTAAACTGGGCTAATGATGATGGGCATACGCCATACAGTGTGCTATGAGGGAAATTTTGCCCAGGCAGCGGCACTACGGCCTACTCTTATATCGAATTCCAACTGCCATGGGATCTTTTACGTGCACGCCAATATGTACACTGGAGCTTGTTTTTTCGTCCCATCCAAACAACTTGACAGCTGTCCTTGTCAGGCCCTCCGTCTTCAATCACTGACATGGAGAAACCATGCCTGAAAATCTGGATGAAATTTCTCGGCCAATGCAGGGATCGAACACCCGACCTCCAGACTAGCGAGTCAGGGTCTTAGCTACGTGATCCCCCAAATAAATTTCAGTTTCAATGCACATTAAGTTGACAATTGACCACCTTTCAGTATCATTAAAGTCATTTGATCAAATTAAAAGAATAGCATACATGTACATGTATATGACTTGTCAGTTTAATTTCAGTATATTTCTAAGAATTAACATCACCTTTAATTCATGATAATCAATAGCCCTATCTTTATCGGTATCAAATAAATCAAACGCTTCCTTTATTTCTTGTTTCTGTTCATTAGCTAATTCTCTTTTCTTTTTCTTCTTACTTTTATCCAAAGCAAACTCTGCCCTGCAATAAACATTTCAAATTAGCAAGTATCTAGGGTTATGTTATATGTGTATAGTGAAGTTTCTTATAATTATAATAAAAATTTACAAGAACTACACATATAGGGAAGAAAGAAAGAACTCAATGATGTTGATGGAAATACACAAAATGCCACTGAACGCAAAAAATCTCTCTTCCCTAATCCTGATCCTCAATACCAGATAAAGTTTATAAATTTGAAAGAACTACATAGGGAAGAGAGAAAGAACTCAATGGGGTTGACAGAGACACACAAAATGTCTCTCAATGCACAACATTTTCTCTTCCCTGAACCAGATCCTCAATACCTGATACTCAGGCCTTCACGTGAATAAATTCTTGGAGAGTAAAATATTGTTGAAAATTTGTGCATATTTAGTACTACTAATCTGCTAATGTTTTTATAATTGTGAAAGCCTACATGTAAATGTCTTTTACGTGAGTCGGAATAAACAAATCGACACACGACCTCCATTATCGCTGATTGATGACTCATGTTTTTCCTCGTCCAATAAAGAACTGTAAGGTTTCTTTGCGCATCTACAATAACAGAGGGAATATCGGTTAATCAACTTTAATTATCCCACTTTGATGTTGCCATTTCTAATATTTTCCAAAAAGAGTTTTCTTTGTACGCACTAATTTATCGATTGGTACTGCTATCTATGGCAAGTTTGTCGAGGAATGCATGTCAACGTGTAGCTTATGGATTATCGTTAAAAATTTCTAGGGGCTTGTAAAAACAGTGCATGTCGAGTAAATATTTTGAGTAGATCATTTTAAAATAAATTCTACAGCATATTATTCTTTTTTAAAAAAATTAAATTACTTTTACGAGAAACGATGATAAAGAACCATAAGTGCAACTAATAATTTATCGTTTGGTAGAGTCTTTTAAATAACCATGTGTTTCATGTTAAGATTTTATTTCGTGTTTTGAATTCTAATAAATCATCAGCTACTTTTTATATGTACATGTACATATTACACTACAGATATAAAGAAATAAAACATTCTTTTCATAAACATTCAACTTTGAAAATTTTGCAGTTCCTTGAGAGATCTATATGACTAATGGTGCGTGATCCACGATTCCACAAGCTGTACTTGATTGCCTGCGGTAAATTTTATAAAATCGCTCTTGGCTTATTATATACTATTCAAAAAAAGTAGGGGATATTTGATTTTGGGGGCATAATACTAAAATATGCAAATGACTACGAAAAAAGTCACTATAGAACCTAACAGAAGAAACATTTCCAGTTACATGTGACGCCCAAACGCACCAGTAGCTACCGCAGGGAATGCAGGTGATGCTTGGGATCATCATGGGGGTCCAACCCAAGATTTGCACGACTCTGACTTTGAATGTTACAGTCATTGTGGCATTGAATTCCAGGGTGGAAACATCAGTTTAATTGTTTTAGTGACCAGAAAACAAATTTTGATATGCGTCGGCTTACCCAAAATGAAAGGTTACGTGCCCTTGGCATGCTACAGATCGGCACAACACAGGCGGTTGTGGCGCGGACGATGAATGTTTCTCAGTCTGTCATAAGCAGGCTATGGTCCAGATACCGTGATACACAATCTGTACAGGACAGACCACGCTCAGGTCGACCAAGGGCGACAACTCAAGCCCAGGATCGATTTATCCGTACCTTGGCCTTGAGAAATCGTGTCATCACAGCAAATCAGATCAGCGCTCGTCTTCAAACAGACACTGGTGTGAGAGTGAGTGGCCAGACGATTCGGAATCGACTGCATAGGGGTCACCTTCGCGCCCGACGTCCTCGCGTGATCCCTTGTTTGAGAGATCATCACATTCAGGCAAGACGTCGTTGGTGTAGGGATCGTCAACACTGGGATAATCGACGCTGGAGCAATGTGATGTTTTCAGATGAGTCAAGGTTCACTGTTGATTTTTTGGACAGACGTAGGAGGGTGTGGCGTCGTCGAAACGAGCGCTTCCAAGACGTTAACGTCATCAGACATGATCGATTTGGGGGTGGTTCAGTTATGGTGTGGGGAGGCATCACTGTTGCTGGAAGAACGGCTTTACATGTTGTTGCAGGGCGTGTTACAGGCCAGTACTACCGGGACAACATCTTGGCAGTCCATGTTGTGCCGTTCGCACGACGTCATGGCCGCCGTTTCATCTTCCAGGATGACAACGCAAGATGTCACAGGGCCAGGATCGTTACAGGTTACCTCCAACAACAGAACATCACCACATTACCTTGGCCAGCACTGAGTCCCGACCTCTCCCCCATCGAGCATGTCTGGGACATGCTTGGACAGAGGTTACGTCAAGGTCAACAACGTCCTGCCAATGTCCAAGAACTTGCTGCTGCGTTGCAACAGGAATGGGACAATCTGGACCAAAATGACCTTAGACGTCTCATTAGGAGTATGCCACGTCGGATCAATGCTTGTTTGGCAAACAGAGGAGGATTTACCCGTTACTGACTTGGTTGTGATGCTGTGGTAACTTTGCTGTTTGACCCCGGGTATCATTTTACCCTTATAATGGTCAGTCTGTGCCTTACTTAGTCTAACGATCATTTGGAATAAATCGATGAATGTGAACTTCATTTCATTTTGTCATTTGTTTCTTCGTCAGTTTCATTAGGTGACTTTAATAACACTTAAAAATCAAATATCCCCTACTTTTTTTGAATAGTATAGATTGATTTGACAGTTGTGTTCAACCTTTCCTTTCAAATTATTTCCGAGTCCGAAACGTCACATACCCGAGTCCGAAATGTCACCTGCCGGAGTCCGAATATGGAGCCATATATTGTTTGGTCCGAAATGACATGTCATATGTAATCGTTGAATCATCATAATATTATCAGTCATCAAGATTTACCAAGTCCCCCCCAACTAGGCAAGCCCAGGAAATTAGTCCATTTTCTTCTAATCATACACAACAATATTTCATGACAGATAGTTTTTATTACGTGTAGGCCCGTTTCCATTCTCGATTCTGATTCTCTCAATCAATCTCTTGACATCAGGAAAGTCAAAATAAGTCCTGCTTGTTGTTGCTGTCATCGACATTACCACAACATGAACATATTACCTCGAAGAGTTGACCAATCGGATCGGTCATTATTTTCTTTCATAACTCAGCCAGTAAACTGCATAATCAAATACTATACCTGAACGACAAACTCATATTAAATTCTTCCAAATAAATTTCAAGAAGCAAAACTTTTTTCTAACGTTTTTGTTGACAAGTTGATACTCGCGCTTCTATATGTATAAAATCTGTAGTTTCGCACCCGTGTATATTTGCATCAAAAAAAATACGGTTACATATAAATAGATATTTATCATTATATTATTAATGTATATTCCCTGTCAGGTACGAATAATCAAGAACAAAAGATATAATAAAATCTAAGTCTTACGGCAGTTTTATGGTAAGAGTTAGTATTTTATACGAAAATAAGAAGTCGGAGCTGAAAAAGCTAACATCAGAAGAGTCGATGGATCAACAACAAACAGTCTCTTAATTATTTTAAACCTTTCATTTTATAGGCTAGGTATCACGCGTACGGTGTATGATCTTGATTTGCGGAGATGCTTGCCAGGAATTTTGCCAAGTTTTGACAGGTAGTCCTAGGCTACATATTTTGTAATGTACAACAAAAAATAACATGACATGACATGACATGTCATAATGTCAGTGTCGTCATATAAATAGTAGAGCCTATGTCATCATCATGTTTAGTTTCTATGCCTATTATATACTATAGGAACTGTCTCTGAGAGGGAGAGAGGGTTTAACCTCCACTTGACACAAACTAGGTCACTTCGGGACTAACATGGTTCAATTTTATTTAAATATTTCCCTTGGGCTTGGGGGCCTTGCGCGTAGAGGTCTTTAGCAGTGGGAGAAAACCCACAAGGTTGGACAGGTGACCTACTCCTCGTCACTTTCAACCAGGAATCGAAACCGCGCCAGTTAACTCAGTGACAGACCTTATGATTCCTTTTGGCAAAAAATAATGTATCACGGTGAAAAATAGAAGGTACGGGTTCCAAAATAGCCCGAGCTACAGGGGTGAGGAAGAGCGGTATTTTACCGAATTTTCATTTTGCAGCTATATTATATATAGGGACGGATAGGAACTCTCAGCGCATTTTGTCCAATCAGAGACAGTTCCTAAAGCAACTAAATCCAATGTACATGTAGCCTACATATGACACTGATACAGTATGTGGATAGGCCAAGCCCACATTAATAAAGCTTATCCTAGTATACATGTACACTACACCAAATTAATTTCAATAATATCATATTTAAAAGATATTCTTTAAAGGAGCTAATTCTCTATTCTTTGGCATCTAGAAATGGACACAAATGGGTCGCAACCGCAACGCATATAATAAAGTAGGGTATTTAATGGATTACCACGATGATAGTCTGCTAATCCTACTCGGCGTTCACCTTGGATCACTGCGTTAGTTTTATTCGTTTTAATGAATTTTGTGACCGTCAGCTTACTGCTAGGCCTACAAGTACGACCCCAATTAGGCATGATACGAAAGAAAAATATGATCGCACAGTTGATTATCTTAAAGGAAGAAGCACTTACATTTAAAAATCTGTCAACTGTTTGTTATAAATGTATTTATTTCAACTGTACAAAAATAACACTGAAGTTTATGGTAATTACAGAAATATTTTTGGACACAGTCACATGATCAGGGACGATTATGAGATACTGCGGACTCAAATTTGTATCTTATTCTTAGCACACACGCTAATTATGCAGTGATTTTGGAAATTATTTGAAAAATCATTAGACAACAAAATTGATAGAGGACTGATACTACACGGGATGTCTGACAAACTACTTTCATCTTTAAAACTGTTGAGGATTAATCAGCGCAAAGTTGGCAATCTGCGCACCAGTTTGATACGGGCAATATCGACAATCAACTTGCTTGTTGGCTACAATAACAATCATACCTTAGTGAGAATCGGCCATCTGGTTCATAATCCGAGTAATTAGCACATTTAATGGTAATTTTGATAATTTGGTAAAAAAACAAGCTTGCTGGTTTGCCTTTTCATAACAAGTCCAGTAAGTTTCCTTTGTAATAATAAGCGAAGTGGTGAATGAAGACATCTCGCTTGGCATGGATTGTGAATCTCGGGATTCGTGCCGTCTTCGACGCTCGATCCATACGAATTCCAAGTACATGTAGGTATTAAAAACGATTTAGTTGCTGTGGGCGTATGTTTCGTTGCCTGGCAACCTATCTTTTTAAATCGGATAAAAATTGTGACCTATATATATAGAGGGAGCACAAGCTAAAAACGCGATTTTTAGTACAAACGGGAGCCATAATCCAAGAAGTTACGATCCGATATATGCGAATCAAGATCTTTGTGTTATAAACATGCATTTCAAGTTTCATCAAAACCAGATGAAAATTATGATCTTTAGAGTGTCCACAAGCTAAAAACATGATATTTCGTACAATCAGGGGCCATAATCCATAAAGTTTTGATCCGATATATGCCAATATCGAAAGGAACTGAGATCTTTTGGCGATAAATCTATATTTCAAATTTCGTCAAAATCGGATAAGAATTGTGTTCTGTAGAATGTCCACAAACAAATTGTGGACAGACAGACATCTGGACGGACAGAGGCAACGACAATATATGTGTACATGAAAATGTAGTAGAAAAATCTCAATTTCGATCGACTGGTGATATCTGTTTATCCATCGAATAAAAGATAGTAATTTATTCAAGAATATTACTGACTTGAACTTCAAGCCATACATGTATATTAGTCTATTCAGAATACAACATTCTCCATAAGAAATTACCAATAATTTTTTTTGTTGACGTCTGATTATATTAAAGTTAATTGGAGCTTCTAATTACCTTATTCCTTACTGGGACCTCATTTGACCCAATTCTGGCCTGTTGGTTTCAAAATGAATTAAAATCCATGAACTTATCACAAATGCTAATAAAGCTCTCCTCAAGAAGAGATTCAGGAGAGCGATTTACGTTTATTTCCGATTTCAGGAGAGCTTTTTTTTTACTCTCCAGGAATTTATTCACGTGAAGGCCTGCAATAACTTGTGTTTGCAATGTTGAAGACTTAAGTCAACTAATTATTGAAATTCCAAGCAATGGTTACTCATGATGTCTGTTTAAAGATACATTACATGTGTATGTAAGATTTAGATAAAGAGCTAGCCATTCTTGCTATAATAGTTTGAAAATAGATAATGTAAAATGAATAATTTGAAAATTTCATTAAAATTACTCTATTGCGAGCGAAGATATTAGCCTTTGAAGGTTTGACAAGACATGTGCAATAATTTCAACCACCGTACTGGTTGTTCGAAGCTAAGTCTCGCTCCTCCATTTTTAAATTAAATCAAAATATGGCTGAACCATTCTAATCTATTTAATATTGGAGAAATCCGATGCCATCAAGAGTTGATTATGGCCTGGATCAGTTAATTACTATCTAATCAATAATTTAGATAACATTTCAGGCCTAAAGAAAGATCTGCAATAGGCAGATTTAGCTCTTGCATAATGTATGTTTAATATCTCCTTGGATAAAAACCTTTGCAATCACGACCCGCAAATTGAAAGTAGAGTGTATCTCTGTGATGTTGCTTATAAGTTTTGTCTCATATTTAAAATCAGAAACTGTTTTTTAAACAAATTTAACAGCTGGTGAAGACCTCCAAAGTACAATCTGCTTCTTGATTGTTTTACATTTTTTGTGAGAATGTTCACAGAGATCTCATCCAAATGCATGGATTTGACCATTTTGAACTAAATACATGTAAGTACCGTAAAAGATGTCAAGAAAAGATTTGTACAAACCTGTTTTACCTGTATGTAAAATACCCTTCCGCTGGCCAGATCTTTCTACTACATGTAATTGTGTGTCGGAAAGAATATAAGTAGAAACTGCCAGTTGGCTTGCAACTTAAAAATGATGAAGTGTGTGTAGGTCAGTTGTTTTGTGCAGACCTGTAGAAAGATTAGAGATACGTATTTGACAAATACTAACTTTCGAAGAAAAATGACCCCAAAACATGACTGTCAAAAAAAGTTTAGAGAAAGGGTTATGCTTATATTGGAGTAACTGAAACTGAAAGACGTATAAATTTATCACAATTTTGCTAGTACTTATGCACTATTATATGAACCTATTCAGGATCGGAAAAGCATGTCCTGAGTATATTTTGTTTAATAATGTCACAGATTGACAAACCCAGGCAGTTAACCCTACTCCTTGTCATTATGTACCTTCTGATTTATACATTACACCACTGTCCTACCCCAACTCTCCTGTTCCATCCCATAAATACAAAACAGGGCCTAAAATTTTGTCTAATGTGAAATCAAAGTATTTGGCCGTATTTTTATTTATCAATTTAATATGATAAGATATCATATCTTTACATGTAGTTTTAAAGTACATGTATTAGGACCACACTTTTTGCAATTTACTGGTAGCTAAGTGTGTTACGTTTAATTTGATCGGGAGACGTGTTCGTCGACGTCGATATCAACGGACAACACTGCAAGAATTGGCCATGGCACTGCAAGAGGAGTGGGTCAGATTGCCCCAAATCGTGATTGGATGGTTGATTAGGAGCATACCACAGGAATTGCTGAATGTCTGAGGATTGGTGGAGCAATTACTCATTATTAAGACTAAAATCTAAAACGTCCATTTTCACTTTTGACGGTGTATCTCTTTGCGAGTGAAATGGGGCTGTCAGATAAGCCACCCATAAGCAGTTTTGTATTGTTTCTGAATATCCCCTTACATATTTGTCATTAGTACTGCATTAAACACAATCTAACTTGAATATGGCCTTTAATATTTAAATCATTTAAAAAAAGCAAGAAGCATGTTTTTACCAATTGGTGATGATTGTCAGAGTAAGAGTCTCTTTAAATTTTAATTGGTTATCTTCTAATATTGTTGATGTTATTGGTAAGGTCAAGATCGGACCTAAAAACCCAGTCCTGTTCAATCTAGATTGAACCTGATTGAATTCTTATTAATATAAAGCACTTCCACCTTGTTTATTATTTTAGTATCTATTTCAGTTGAGTTGTATGAAAATTAAAGGAATGAAAATGGTAAATGACTGCCGTGAATTATAAGAGGTAGGATGACAATATATGTTTACCTTAAATCTTAATTTTATACAGGTTTAAAGTCAGAAAAATAAATATAGTCCGGTGGCTGAAGGGGGGAATCACCACCCGAGCTGTGAATTTATGAGACCAAGTTTTTCTAGACCAGTTTTTCGTGTAGATTACGAATCTGGGTGGTAATCAGGCGTTTGAGAGGGCGTTTTCAAGATATAGGGGGTCAAATATCTACAATGGGGTGGGGGGGGGCATTATGATGCCCCTAGACAATGTTATGATTTGTGGGGAGATAGAATGGGGGTAGCAGGTGTGCGTGTGTGGAGGGGTGGGGTGGGGATAAAATTGGCAGGAAATGAGTTCACGCTGATTTAAATGATGATTGTCTAAGTTCTTGATTAAACATCTCAAAATATGTTTAAAAGATTCCCATTGTGTGGGGTTGACGCCGGGGTGGGTGCCCGTGAGGGTGGGGGGGGTGCGGGTGGCAACATGGCTTTTTGTGGACAGAAATCATTTCGTTCATGAATTAGCTTAAAGTGGTGTCTCGTTGGCGTTTTCGTTCAAAATATCAAATTATAATGGTACTTTTCAAGAGGTCTGGAAATGTAAATCAAAAACACAGTAACTCAGAGATACTTTTAGTTATTAGTTTATTCTTTGTCTTCATCAGTCCAACCTCGTGGGTTTTCTCCGGGTCCTCCGTTTTCCGCCAACTGCTAAAGACCCCTACCCGCAAGCGAATTATTAAAATAAAATTAAAAACCATATGTTAGTCCCGAAATGACCTAGTTTGTGTCAAGTGGACGTTAAACCCCATTTCTCTTTTTGTCTTCATCAGCAGATTCAAAATCAAAAGTTCATATGAGCGAGATAAATATTTTCTTTGTAGCTGACCTTTGGATATGCTTCAGAAACCAATTCACATTGTAAATCTTCATTCCAGCCATGCAGCAAAAGACCACGTATACGGCAAGATGGTAATAAAGAAAGTTCTGTTATTTTTTCACCCAGAAAATCTTTTCTTCTTGCGTCATCTGCTGATGTAAGTCGCCTTTCGCGATATTTTCTACCTTTGCCCGTCTCATTATCGATCAAAATTTGTATATTTGGATCATCGTTTGCGAAGAGAATGATTGGGATGTCTATTTCGCAAGAACAAGAACGCAAAATACAATTTGTTTCAGTACCTCCATTAATTTGCAATGCGAAGAGGAGTAGGTAAGATATTTTGGTGTCCTTGTGGTAGGTTGTCAGTTCTAAGATATTCTCGATACTTTCAATACTAATCTTGATATATTTTTTGATCCAATCAAGATTAGTATTGAAAGTGTCAAGAATATTTCGGCCTATGGTACATGTTTTCAGTGGTAATGACTATCTGTCTTTCTTTTTCAAGATAATCCCAACTTTCTAACAATTTTTAAAGAGCTTGGATAGACAAATTATGTTTCTGATGACGTGTACTTGCTGGTTTAGAAAAAATTGTTTGTACCTTGTACGGCGAAAACCGACTTACATCAGTAGATGACACAAGAAGAAAGATCTTCTGGAGGAATTTTAATCGTGATGGAAAATAACAAAACTTTCTTTCTGTATTACCATCTTGTCTGGGTAGTCTTTTGCTGCACATTAAACGCAATAATAATGTAGCAACAATAGGGAGACAAGCTGCAAAACCAATGATCGAACACGGTGACCCTGTGATACAAGGCTGGAATGAAGATTTACAATGTGAATGGGTATCTGAAGCATATCCAAAGGATATATGCGAGCTGTTGATCAGCCATCAAGAAGATATCTATCCCACTCATATAATAAGAATAAACTAATATCTAAACATGTGTTTTTTATGTACATTTCCAGATCTCTCGAAAAGTACCATTATAGTTTAATATTTTGAATGACAATATTGGTACTGAGCCAAAACTCAAGAAAACACTTTTCAGATCAACTTTGAACGAAGTGGTTTCTGTCCCACAAAATACATTTACCCCCCCCCCCCCCCATACAATGGTAATCTTATACACATATTTAGAGATGTGCAGTGGAATTAAGAATTAAAAAGTAATGTTTTTACCAAGCTCTAAGAAAATCATTATTTAAATCATTATTTAAATCAACGTGAACTCATTTCCCGCCAATTTTACCCCCCCCCCCATTCACACACGTACACACACACCTGCTACCCCCACCCCACAAATCAGACAGTTGTCTAGGGGCATCATTAAACACCTCTTTAGAGATGGACAGTCCTAGAAATTTATGTTTTATTAATATATAACATGATCATCATTTATGGCAACATAATGACATCCCCTCCCCCTCCACACACGCACACCTACACCTGGTACCCCCACCTCCCCATAAATCAAAACAGTTGTCCAGGGGCATCATGAACACTTATATAAAGATGGGCAGACTAGAAATGTATGTATTATTAATATATTATGTCAACATAATGACATTGCCCCCCCCCACCATTGTAGATATTTGACCCCCTATATCTCGAAAACGCCCACTCAAACGCCCAATCACCACCCAGATTCGGAATCTACACAAAAAACTCATCTAGAAAAACTTGGTCTCATAAATTCACAGATCGGATGGCGATTCCCCCCCTTCAGCCACCGGACTAATACCTTAAGAATGCATTATGCAAGAGGCAAATCTGCCTATTGTAGGTCTTTCTTTAGGCCTGAAATGTGATATAAACTATACTAAACAGCAAAAAAAATGTCTGTACGATTTCAAAATCAGAGAGGCACTTTAATCAAATCATTCTAGAAAATGACTTACTAAATGGATCAAAGCAATTTTTTGTGAACAGTATGTTGACACATTAGTGATTAATTCATCACAATTCCAAGACATTACGAGAAGGTTTAGAGTCTGTACACAGTCAATACATCAGTATCTGGTGTGTCCACCGCGAGTGTCAATAACAGCAGCGCAGCGTCTGTACAAAGAGTGGACCAGACGATTGATGAACGCCATTTGCACCTGGAACCACACTCAGAAAAGCCTGGCGCAATCAATCGGATGTGTTTGGTCTCGGTACAACATTATTAAGTCTCCCCTGAATTTCATCCCAGAGATGTTCAATTGGGTTTAAGTCTGGACTATTGACTAAGGGCTGGCCAGTGCATAACGTTGACACCGTTCTGCTGTAGACAGTCCTGAGTAACTCTGGTGGTGTGGGCACGGGCATTGTCATGTTGGAAAATTTTGTTTCGATGACATGCCAATTGTATGACGTGGGGTCTGAGAGCTTGATCAATGTAGTGCACTGCTGTGATGCCGCCTCCTCTCCCTGGACCAAGATTTTGGAACACCACAGGACCCACTCTCTGGTTCAGGCCGATTTAACCCCAAACCATTATGCTTGGACCTCCCCATGAGTCTCGTTCCATGACACATTGGTCAGAATAATGCTGGCCACGTCGATGCCATATCCTGGTCCTGCCATCTTCAGTTGATACGCAATTCCGACTCTTATCTGTAAACAGAACAGTTCTCCATTGCCTGTGTCGCCAGTTCTGGTGTTGTTGGGCAAACTGCAGATGTTCACGTCGATAGCGAGGGGTGAGGATCAGTCTACAGCAATGGATGTTCTCTCTGGTGAGACGTCAGCGCACAGTATCGGAAATGATGGGTCTTCTGTGTGATCCCACTGTCTGACGTGCTGTCTCAGATGCCTGTGTGAAGGGATTCTGAACGTGCTGTCGCACAACATGGTGGTCTTGTCGCCTTATGGCAACCCTTTGTCTACCAGTTCGGGGGCAATCATCGGTGGTGTTGGTTGCCCGAAAGCGTTGCTGAAGCCTGTAGATGGTCCGAACATTTACCTGGAAGTGATTGGCAACGGCATGGGCAGTGTGGCTAGCGTCGAGTCTTCCAAGCGCCTGCTTCCTCTGAGCTGTCGTGAGTCGTGGCATGCTGCTGATGTTGTAGAGTGAATGATTCAACCAGGTATGGGGGTGCATTTTATAGGGCTGGTCCCGGTGAACAGCACGTGCAGCATAAGTTACATGAAAATCAAGAAGAACACATTACCATCTCAGAAGTCAGGTTGCGTTTTTGAGAACATTTCCTGGGTTCAATTCTGCATTTGGGAAGGACCTTATTGCTCAGGTACAGTTGGAGATGTGGTCACAAATATACAATAAAAACATTTGGCAAGTTTTATGCAATGTGTCTATTCAGAGTAACATACCAACCTGACGTTTCTTTTGCTGCTTAGTATATTAATAAGACATTTATAAATATGAAAAGACCATAATCAGCTCTCGATGTCATCTATTGTGTAAGATTTCTAGTGGATTTGAATCCGATCTGCTGTAACGTCTGTTGATGATTAAACACAAAAATGGATAATCGAGACTTTGTTACTTACCGTAATAGTGCTAACTATGACAATCGAGGCTACAAAGATTTAAAGATAAGGTTTTCTTGGCAATATTGTCTGACAATTGTTGTTTTTTTTTTTGAAGATAGGAATTACATTATACCTTAATTTTATACAGGTGAGAAGTCAGAAAAATACATACATGTACCTTAATATTGTCTGATAATTGTTGGTTTTCTTTGGTGGGTGGGTGTACAGATTAAAATAATATCTACAGTCTGGACCTACTTATAGCACTTGACTTTTAAGTATCTGCTGCAGACAGAATTGTGATTCTTCCAATGAGTTACTTTATTATTTAATTTTTGCAGTGTTTATGTATGTAAAAAGACAACCTATTACAATATGGAAAAATTACAAGAATTTGTAATGAGAGGTCAGTTTACAGAAGCTGTTCAAATGTTGACAATTTTAGACAAGATAGATGCTACTATTGGCCAAAATCTACTGTACAATTCTATTAAATATTATGAGAGTTACATACAGTCATGCCATCAAGATGATACAATATGTAAAAGAGATTTTGTTAAATCGCTAGTGGTAGCTCAGTCAGAGACAAGATTTCAGTTGTTAAAGTTGATCCAGTGTTTATTTAAAATGGGTGTCAATCCCAATTTTGTTGTTGAAAATGGTACTTTGTTAATGACTGCTGTTGCAACAAGAGATGAAAGTCTTTTACAGATGTTACTTAGTAATGGTGCTGATCCCAATTTATTTGGAGGACGTAGAGATATGAATGCTTTCTCCTTGTCAATTATTATTAATGATGTATCCATTGTTGAGTTGTTTTTACATAATGGAGCAAATGTTAACAGTCCTTGTTGTGGAACTATGACACCATTGCAGTTATCAGTAAACAAGTGTGTAGAGATTTCTAAAATGTTATTACAACATGGAGCTAATATTCAACAAGTTTTAAATGTATCTGGAATCAATCAAGTTCAACTAGCAGACCCCCCTTTAATACAAGCGGTGCGAAGTGAAAACCCTTTTCTGACAGCTTTACTGTTAGAATGTGGGGAAGATATCAATCAAGTACATGGTCAGCGCGAAGACACTGCCTTCCATATAGCTATCAAGCAAGGAAATAAAGAAATTGTGGAAATCCTAATTAGAAATGGAGCTAATTTAGACAAGGAAAATGCGCGTGGCCATACACCTTTAGGTCTAGCCCTGTTAGCAGCAGGCTCAAAATCAAATGACATTGTAAAGATGATCTTGAATGCTGGGTGTAGTCGAACCAAAACCACCAGTATAGCGCTCTTCCAGAAAACCTACCCGCCATTATTTGTTGCTTGTTTTTTAGGCAATCTGAACATTGTTAAGTTTTTGTTAGAAGAAGACACTGCCATGAATATTCCTTGTGACCTTCATTGTTATTGTAATAATGGAAAATATGAATACAAGCATGAATTTGAAGAACCAGCTATTTTTTCTAAGTCTAAGAGTCCTCCACTGGCACAAGGTTCTTCAAATCATTTAGATTTGGATGGCGATGATATTGTTAATAAATTTGAACATTTGACTGTTTGTGATTCAGTGAAAAAGAAGAAAATGTGTGCAAATAAAACAAAATATATGGCTAATTTAGTTGCTTCTGATGGTTCCACTCCTTTGATGTTGGCTACCTTTGGTGGTAAATTAGAGATGGTGGAATATCTGCTAGATCATGGAGCTGATCATAATATAACTAATAAACATGGTAATTTGGTACATGCTGCAGTAGTTAGTACTGGATCTATTAAATTTCTAGATATTGTGGTTAATCTTGGTTGTGATATTAACATGGTTAGTAATGCTGGGAATACACCCCTCTTATTATCATCTAGAATTAACAAACCGGAAATGTGCTTGTATTTAATACAGAAAGGAGCTTATTTAAATCACAGAGATAGGTTTGGAGAAACAGCTCTATCTGCTAGTATATATTTTGGTTGTGAAGACAATGCCAAACTTCTTATTCAACATGGAGCTGATCTAGATATTGCCGATTCAAGGTATGTGTTAAGATGTTTAACTTAACTTATTAATGGGTGCCCTTTCAATTGCAATAGCCAACATATTACTCCCGCTTATCGCTACCTGCGATTGAGCAAATTTGAAAATCAAGACTTTTGTTTATTATCATATTACTATTATGGTATTTGGCAATCAATACTGAAATTTTTAATATATTTATTTTTCATTATCTATTTTTAATTTTTAAACCATTATAGCAAGAACAACCAGCTCTTTATCCAAATCTTACATAATGCATCATTATAATATCAGTGAGAAAAAGTTGGTGGTCTGTATCCTAATTAATTTTTGTATATTAGAGTTATTTTCCCAGTATAGCTAACCCGTCAAGTTTGAATTATTAAACCTTATCTAAATCTTCATAATGCATCTTTAATATCAATGCGAAAAATTTGGTAGTCCGTACCCTAATGAATTCTTGTGTAATAAGAGTTATTTCCCCTGTATAGCTAACGAGTCCCATGTAAAAGTTGCTTTTACTATTACTAAGTAATTAAGTCTTATTTTAAGGTGCGGATTTAAAGCTGGGTGCCCACCCCTTCCAGGTTTCTCTGTGTTATAGCTACTGCCCCTAAGGTTGGCAAATATTAGTATCAAAATCAATAACAGTCATAATATGACATGAACTTTATGTCAACTTCAATAAAACTGCTTTTGGCGAGATGACGGTCTGCGGATAACTAATTATGGGCAATACGGTCTATGTTCTACCGCCCACCCCTCTTCTTGTTGCAGCACTTAAGACGGATGCCGAAATTGCTAAATATAATTGTGTAAAGCCATTATTTTGTTGACATTCATTGTAGTGTGGGATTGTGGGAGGCTCCCTAGACCCCCAACCCCCCAACCCCCTAACCCCCTATTCACATCTTCTAGATCCGCTACTGCTTATTTACAATTTATTTTTCATTTCAATTTTCCGTTATCGTTCAATTGCATTCTTTTAATTATAAATAGGCATTATTAAGATTTTGATGAAGAGCTGGCCGTCCATGTAGGCGATGGTACAAGCAAAAATTGTTTGGTTAGGAAAAAGAAGACCATGCGAATTTCTATTTCCCAATTCATTTAATGTAGTTTGAAGAAAATTCGAAAGGAGCGATTCCTACTGAGTAACACATGTATATCATAAGGTTATTTAACTTTAATGCAATGTTTTATAAATTTGTATTTTTCAGCGGGACGACTGCCTTCTACTGGTCTATTTTCAACTACAGAGAATCTATTATACGACGTTTAATTGATGCAGGGGCTTACTTTACACCAGAACATTTAGCTAAATATCCACGAAATCTTAAATTTATGAAAAACAAACAGCTTATCGAGTGGATAAAGGGGAAAATATCCAACCCTAAAACTTTGGTGGACATTTGTGTTCATTCTGTTAGGAAAGTTTTATCCAAATCGAATGTTGGTCGAAGTATTTTCCACAATATAAATACTCTGCCATTACCTTCCACAGTTAAGCAGAGATTAAAATTTATACAATAATAAGTTCACTTTATATGATTTAATGTAAATGTTGTGCTGTAATACGTAATAAAGGGTTTTATAGGGTGGGGGGGGGGTTTGTGGGGGGGGGGGGGTGATCAGTTGCAATTAAAGGATTTGAAAAAAGTCATGTTACATGTGTTGTGGTTTGACTCGTACCCGACCCGAGACTTAAATGAAATCGTATCTCTTTATTTCATTGTTTTAAAAAGGCAGGGGCCAACCTATGGCAGACCTGTATTGCTAGAAAAAATTCTCGTTTACAGACAGCGACTTACCGTGTTGGTACCTGCCAGAGAAAGTTTGGAAAACTAGGCGGCCGCAAACACGTTTCGTGCTATTACAGCCCGTAAATACATCGACTTCAAATTCAATGTTGTCGATATAGCCTAATTTAGCTGACCTGAATGCAAATAGAGCCTTCACCTGGAACTTCTCGAGAAATTTTTTAAAATTTAACTGCCGCAGATGCGTTTTTCTGCTGTTCTAGCCAGTGAGTCGAGCAAGTTGAAAGTTGTCTAATGGTTTTGCAACCGAATTCCCACATTATGCCGACCGAATTCCAATCATCCAATCAGAGTGTTGGGGCTGTATTTACAAATAATAATCAATGGCCGAAAAATGTCGTACAAACCAGTGTGGCTCCAGACAAAATGTTTTAATCCATAGTCAATTCAGTACAAATTCTTGTTATTAAGTTTTAAAAAAAGTGAAATTAGTGTTTTAATAGATTTCGGGCACTTTATTTTAACAACTAGATTATATCATATTATATCTTTTCCCCACATAACCCGTCTACCCGGAGTGCCTGGAAAAACACTAGTTCCTGTAACATATAACCGAGGAATCAAAACTCCATGCCACGTACAATTTTTTTTTTGTAAACAGTATTTTATTTCATTTGAAAATGGATTGGAGAACAGGCTGGGCCTATGTTGACTCCTCTCCAGAATTTACAAAAATAAGTTTAATTTATGTACATACAGAACATATATACAACAAGAACATATAAAAATATAAAATTATTTGAGATTTAAATATAAACTAAACATTTATACATATATACAGTTGTCCGTTCCGTTACTTTATATTAATATGGTACCAATATAGTAGTGCCGCAAACCCCCTCCCCTCCATATAAGACCTATCTAAACGTGAAGTATTATTTGGTGTATTATGTATAGAGTAAATAAATCAATAATAGACGGGATGATTTGGACGTTAGAAACGTTTTGACAATTTTAAGAAATTATGAACAGTGTTAAAAATGAACTCATTTTGATCAACTGAGAGGACAAACTGACCATTTAATAAAATACTAATATCTTGAAATTGCTGCTTTATTAAACCAAGAGTTTGACCTCGGGCACCCGAATGCAAGGAGCATACTAGTAGATAATGATAACAATCTTCAAAATGGTGACCAGACGCGCAGGCGGGGCTATCCGTTTAATGTCTCAAAAACTTATGACCATTTAAATCGCTGCAGCCTAATCTCAGTTTACTATGTATTATTTGATTTTTTCTATCTCCAATATAATAGTACTGTGGAATAATATGGTCGTTTTTAATCAAGCTTGAAACTAATGATGAGACAGAATTTGAATTTTGTACTTCGGGTTCCAATGTGTTCCATTCTCTGATCGTCGACGGAATAAATGAATTAGAAAAAATGTTTGTTCTACAAAAGTACTCTTCGAGATTATTACAGTTTCTTAGACGATATGGTGATTTTTTGTTTAAAAAAAGGTTAGATATATATGAAGGAGCTAGACCATTGATTAACTTATAGAATAATTTTAATTTGTGTCCTCGTCGACTTTCAGCTAATGGAACAAATCCTGTTTCTTTAGAGTTTTGCATGGCTTGTACCTCTAACCGCTCCACAAATAGTCTTTAGTGCATCTAACTGTAAAGTTTCTAATTGTGAAACTAATTTGTTTGAACAATCAGCCCAAATTACGTCAGCATAATCAAAATGTGGTAAAATAAAAGAAGTATAGATGATGTTTAATGATTTTCTATTAAGTCGATATTTTAATGATCTAAAACAATTGATAAGTTTCCCTACTTTATTACAGCTATTATTTATATCGACATCCCATTTGCAATTTGGTTGAAAGTTTAGCCCAAGATGTTTATGCTCCGATACTTCTTTTATTTGCACAGTATCCAAGTACAAGTGTGGTCTAGTTAAATTTATTTTAGTTGAAAAGGTTATTGTTTCAGTTTTTAGGGGTTTGAAAGTTACAAGCCATGTTTTGACCAGTTATTAATAGTTATCAAATCATTATTCAGGATAGCCGCGTCTGCCTGAGGATTCGTTTTTTGTAAATACAGGGAAGTAGCATCTGCAAACAGTCTAATATTCGAGTTAATATCATTTACAATATCATTAATGTATAACAAATAAAAGAGGACCGAGAACCGAGCCCTGTGGGACACCGACAGGGACAATCCTGGGGTCAGAGGAGGCACCACCGTGCTTTCTATTTTTTAAATAATCAATAAAGGAATCAAGCAGCCCCCTCTTACACCAGACGCCCTCGGCTTATGACAGAGTCCAGTGTGCCAAACTCTGTCAAAAGCCTTGCCGATGTCACAGAACACTGCTCTTGTATACGTTCCGTGATCTATGGCTTGACAAAAAGTGTGAGTTAAGTCAATTAGTTGATAGATAGCGCTATCTCCCTTTAAGAAGCCACTTTGAAACGAAGTTAGTATATTGTTTTCACAAAAGAAGTTAAAGACATGCTTATATATGCATTTTTCGAATATTTTTACAACAATGCTTAATCTATAGTTTCCGCATTCATGAGGAGATCCTTTTTTGAAAATTGCTACTACATTTGCTGATTTCCAAATTTCAGGGACTTTTTTTATGAGAAAGGGACAAATTACAATTGTGATTTAAACCACGCCCCTTGACTAAATGACAGACCTGATCAAAAACGCACGTGTTAAACAATTCGGCCATTATTACGCAGGGTGTACTAATTTGGTCAGGGCAACGGCATTTTCGTTTAGTCTACATATTATTTCGTCCGACCACAGGGCCGGCAGAAGCAATTCTTGATTGGGGGGAGGGGGGTACCATCCTAGGACTTTAGGCGAGGGTCCAGAGGCCGCCTAGTGCCCGGTAAGCTTCTGAGGATCTAGAGACTGTTTCTGGCTAATGAAATTACTCAGCAATGTTTCTAAATCCCTTACCATGCAAGCACATTCGATGGTGGCTTCCTGTGATGCTAAACTTGACAAATATATGCATAATAATTCAAAGGTTGTGGACACTCTAGAGGTCACAATTTTTTTTACGATTTTGATGAAACTGACAATGTATGTTTATAACCGAAAGATCTCGACATGTGTAGCTTATGGACCCTCTAGACCTCACAGTTTTTATTTGATTGTCAAAACCGTTCATATATATCACCGTTGCACCATAAATACGGCTGAATTCAAATTTCGTGAAAATCGGACCGAAACTGTCCGACAAAATGGCTGCTACCCTTAAAAGCATATAATACTCAGGTTTTGGACCAGAGGTTCGAATTTTCATCCAATTTTGATATATCCTAAAGGCCCGGGTTCCTTTCAATATTGGCATGTATTGGACCGTAGCTTTCTGGATTATGACCCCTAATTTACGAAATATTACGTTTTTAGCTGGTGGACCCTCTAGGGTTCACCATTTTTATTTTATTTCCAATGTATCACCGTTACATCATAATTATGAATTTCCTGAAAATCAGACCGAAACTTTCAGTCAAATGGTCATGGCTCTCCTTTACGCAAATAGTATAAAAACATGTAATACCAAGGTTGTGGACCATCTAGAGGTCAGATGTTTTATCCGATTATGAACTTCAAACGAGTATCAATAGCTCTTGGATGAGTTCAATTTGCCCCCCCCCCCCCCTGCCTTTTAAGCAAAATGTGAAATATGAATGAAGTTCGTGGACCTTCCTGAGGCTACAATTTTTGTCCGATTCATGAGATAAAGTGAAAACAGAAATTGATATTTCATCTAGTTAGCAAAATAAAGTGCCCGAAATATAATAACACACTAATTTTACTTTTCTTTTAATTGAATACCACGAATTTGTGCTGAATTGACTATAGATTGTCTGGAGTCACTCAACTTTGTGTGACATTTTTCGGGCATCGATTATGTTTTGTGAATGCAGCTTCAACAGTGATTGGATGGTTGGAATTCGGGTCGGCATAGAGTGGGATTTCCGTTGAAACCGATTGGAAACTTTGAAGTTGCTTAATTCACGGGCTAAAAAAGCAGAAAAACGCATTTGCGGAGGTTAAATTTTTAAAATTGTCTTGGATAGTGCAAGGCCCCCATACCCCGCGACGATTGATTGGTTGTTTGGGATTTGGGATTTAGTTAAGTCATCTAAGGTAGGCTATATTGGACCACATTGAAGTATCTGCATTCACGGGATGGTCTAGCAGGAAAACGCGTTTGCTGCAGATAAATTTTCAAACATTCATCGAGCTCGTACGCCTATGCATCACGGGATCATTTTATGTATAGATTTATCTGATATTTTTAGATTTATTTTGATAAAAGGACACCGGCGAAACGTGAAACACCTTTCATAAAAGGCTGCTAATTATTAAAGATTTTAAAAATTTACGTCATGCTCTAAATGTAGAAATAATGAATTTATTTATCGTTGATGTTATACACATTCACTCATCGTCTTCTTTATATATATATTATTAATGGCTTACTTATTCAACAAGGGCGTTACTCAAATATCTATTTTAATTCTAAACATAGGGGCAAAACGGCCTGACAATTAATTTTATTTGCGCAAACCAGTGAGGTGTTACATAGAAATAGAAGATGTTAATACAACCGTCTTAATGCTAGGTTGCCACTATCACGATTCGCGCCAGGAAAACGTGTCTGGGACGGTCAAATTTTCCAAACTATCTTTAAGGCGGGGGGGGGGGGGTCCTACATGGTTAGCTCTGTTCCTTCGCCTCTCGCAGACGACCGTAAAAACACAGGGATCAGTATAGAGCACAATAGGGTTTTCTTCTGATAGCCTACGTTCTAGAAGTCTCACTTCTATGTTATAATCAGACCTTGTTGTATCTAACGGCATAATTACTTGCGTGCAATAGCACGGAGAGAAGAGTACTTGCAGCCAAATTATTGGGGAGTGGGGGGGGGGGACTCACTCCACCGGACCTGGACCAGTTTACATTTATGGAGAGTTGATTTCCGAATATGTCACCAAAAGAAGGGACAGTTTTTAAGCCTTAAAATTATAACAATTTAATATAAATCTGAGACATGTTTCTTTGCAACAATTTAATATTCAGAGGCATAAAATTTCAAGAATGTTTTCTTTTAATCTTTAAAAATTGTTTATGTCTTTAGACAATAGAAGACATTGACATTCCCGTCATTAACTTAATGGTTAAGTGCAATATGAGCAAGCGATTCCCACATCTCTTCACCACTTGGTAAAATCTGATTTGCAGGCAGTCTGAATCCAGTAGCCCAGTCGCTCCCAGCAGGTCGAAGTTCATAGGTCACAGCAAAACTAACCCCTGCACCAACTATTGACCAATCATAAGATCCTCCAGAGGCGTGGTCTAAAATTTAAAAGAAAACCAACAAATAACGTGAAATGAAATCAAAAGTTTTAGCCCCCTACGTTTCTGTCCCAACTGGGCAGCCAACTCCGCACTCGGCAAACCTCGGCAGATTCCGTTAGTGCTAGATGAAGGGTAATGGAATCTGCTGAGGTTTGTCGAGTGCCAACTCCGGGGGCGAAACCGCAATTTTTAGCGAGCCAGCGCCTTTCTCAACGAAACACAAATAACCCTATCAACAAAGGGTGAATTTATGCAATCCAAATTAACAGTATTTCAGTTAATTAAAAGTACAATGCGTCATATAACCCATAATCAGTTTCCGTAGTTAAACAACAAAAATAGTGTTCTTCAGTACGATTAAAACAAAACACGTAGCTCGGTGTTCCTAGGTGGAAATAAAATATCGTTCATGAGTCCGTGAACAATCTTGGCGAAAAACAATATGACGGCATAAAATCATCAAAAGGTAACTGGCTGGAACTTCCGTTGATCGATTTGATTAGTTTTTGGATAACTGCTTTTTAACAATACTACCTTTTATTGTGTTTGATTCCAAAGTGGAGAAGATTACAGGATTTTTTAAAAAGTTGTCGGAAATACAAGTCTTACCGAAAGTAGCGACGCAAAATATATTTGTGATATTTTTAGTTATTTTTCCCATGATAAAGTTGACTAAAAAGTGTAGTTTGACACATCAAACAGAGTGATTTTTTAGAAAAGAAAAGTATCCGAGCGGGGCGATCAAAATAAATTTATGTTAGCTCTTTAAAGCTTGATAGATACAAATATCGTCTTTACGTTTTTAGAAAATAAAGGATATGCTGATTGCACCTTCTGAGGTTTTATAGTATTTTATTTACATGGAATATATTGGACATTCAGTAGTGCGAATAATTGGACATTTCTTGTGTCCCACCATATCGAGTAAAGTTAATTTATAAAAGCAATTCTTTGAAGTAAGATATGGATCTGTTTATGTTTTAATGACCATTCGAGCGAAGCGATGTGAATTTCTTTTCTTAATAATATACATTTGAAATTTAAAAAAAGATCTTTCTACGTACTGAATCTTTTTTTTCTATTTTAGCTCTACTTACAATTTCCCAAACCCGAACAAAACAACCATTTCCTACTCTTCGACGGATAAGAATTGTTTGGGGAATTGTAGTATTATGGATAAATATATGAAGAATATAGGTATTACCTTTTTTTACATGGACTATAATAATGATAGTTTTGTAGACAGTGTAAATTCCGAGAGACATTTTTATTGTATACAGTGAAGATATTGCACCCCCTACTATCCGCACCTATAAAAGTCTATCCTTGCCTTTTAATATGACCGATTCCCTTATGCATAAATAATACTAGTAAAAGTAAAAATAATGCATCATGCCACTTGTCTGAGGTAATGGCCCAGCAAAGGGTTACGTCACTGTCTTGACCCCCCCCCCCCTTCTTACTTAACAAAAGCCGCCCCAAACACACATTATATATCGGTAATTTTGCATAAATGTTGCTTGAAAAGTTGAAATCTGATAACCTTAATCGCATTACATTCATAGAAATAAACCATTATACTTACATAAAAGTTCTCCTGGTGTCCCAACTGTGAAATATTTATTATGCACATTATATAGTTTATCTCTTGCAGCATTAGATACTGAGGTCTAAAAACAAAACCGAATGTTAAAAAGACATTATAATGATTTGAATGGGGTATACCATCCTACTTTTCTGCACCAACAGGGACAATGAAGACGAGCATACGCCACAGAGTATGCTATGAGGGACATTTTGCTCTGACATCAATTAAATTCCAACTGTCCAGAGATCTTTTACACCCAATCCGAACGACCAGACAATTCCCTGCCAGGCTATCCGTCCGACAGCACGCTAGAAACTCTCTGGTAACGTTCTTGACCAAGATCGGGATCGAAACCCGGACCCTCTGGTTAGTTAGCCAGTGCGTTACTCTCTGAGCCACAGTGGCCCCCAACCTCCCATATAACCTAAATATTGTATTCCTGTATGGACGGATCTGTCAGAACTATCTAAAGATGCATAATGGAAGATGTAAACTGATAAGTTAAAACCCTACTTTACAATACTCCTTTTCTTACCCCCTTCTCTATGTTTGGGGTAATTTGAAGAAGGGTTCGCGCAAACGCGGCTGTCGAGTCAAAATTCCTTTCCGATCTATTTCACACGCGACGGCAGAAATAAATCACTGTTTCAGTCTCACAATGGCTTATATTTTAATCACATTGAAACACATTATAAAAAAATACCCCAAAACTACAGGTATAAGCAAAAGTGTAATTCAATGATACTTGCAATATGGCCGGTGTTAGATGATTTAGTACTATCAAATTAAGCTGTTAGAGGATTTAGTACTATCAAATTAAATTTACAATATGACCAATTTTAGAGGGTTTATTACTGTCAAATTAAATTTACAATATGACCAGTGTTAGAGGGTTAAGTACTATAAAATTAAACTTACAATATGACCGGTGTTAGAAGGTTTAGTACCATCAAATCCATACGGTGTCAAAATCATCTGTGAGTAGGAATGAATTGAAATAAAAGCACTAAGACGGTCTTTGATTTCATTTACTTTGTCACGAATATTCATGGATTCGGGTTCAGAAAAGGCACCAGTTCCAGGGTAGGTATCAGCAGTACAAGAAGAACTCACACCAGTTGCTGTAACAAAACAGTATCATATTATAATTAAGTAACCCGAACAGACATTCTTCAGGCCGATTCTATAGATTTATATATGATGTGCATTAATGAATAAGGCGAATTTGTGAATTGCAGAATAATCTGAGATATTGAATTAGGGATGCAAACGACTGATATATGACGGTATATCATATAATTTACTTGACTTGGCCAAAGATACTGGATAATCAACTACATAAAAAAACAAACTCCCGGTTACACATGGGCAATGGAACTTTTCGTCAAATATTGACAACGGTCACAGACAATGAGGTTCTAGGTGACCGAGACTAAGTGATTCGTAGCTTTAAATTTCAATAGAATTCACCCTTTGACTTGTAAAACGATGTCCTAAAATAATGTACAGAAGTTACTATGGCTCGGTGACAAGAACAATAATAGCCTTATTATGAATAATTGATAAGCAAATGCTAATTTTGATACATTTCAAGGACGTTTTAACATAACGACTTTTATAATAGCAATTAAAATGGTCTGACGTTTGGTACATGGCAGTACGACCTCGAACACTACTGTGATGATCCTAGTCAAATAGTTAAGCAAACTTGAAAAAAAAAAAAAAAAAAAAAAACTCTGACAACAACTCTGAAATTACATGAATTCGATGAAACAACTCCGCGGAAAATTGATGTGCATTTCCATCAAGTTTGAAAAAAAATATCTCAGAACCACGTTCTTACTCTATACGAATAATTAATGAAGACAACAGAATATCACATTACCAAGTGAGTGTGGATATAACTCATCGCCTGTACAGAAACAACCACGGTCACTATTACCGGTTAAATGCAATGGTATAGGCCAACAGTGTACAGTAACACGGTCCTAAACAAAACAAGATATGGCTTTATATGAATGCCAGGTCGTCCACATGCAAAGTCGTCCATAGAGTTTGATATGATTTTTTTTTGTTTAATTTTGGGATGGAGAAATACGTTGATTGAGTCACCCACACGACATAGTTTACTTTCGGGACAATTAGCTATTTCTTCCATACAATTAAAGTGTGTACGAGTCAAGTATTGGTTGTGGACGACTTAACCATTAGATGTATACGAGTCAAGTATTAGTTGTGGACGACATCACCAATAGTTGTGGACAGTATCAATGCCTTGTGGACGACTCCACCAACGGTTGTTGACTTAAACTGTCGACGACCTTGCTTGTGGACGACTTGACTGGTACCCTTTTATATAACCTTGCCATTTCATATGCGAAATTATGAATACCTATGGATTTTAGGCATTTGAAAGGTTACTTGAATAGGATGAACAGGGATAACACAAAAATGGAAGGCCCAGAACTTACGTCAACACTATGCGAAATACTGAATACCTATGAAATTAAGGAAGTTTAACAAATATTTAACGGAATAAACTGGGATAATACAAACACGGTTCCAGAACTTACTCCCCCACTATGAGGAATTACGAATACCTATGAAATTAGGGAAGTTTAAAGGTTATTTTAATGGAATAAGCAGGGATAATACAAGAATGAAAGGGTTACAGAACTTACTTCCCCACATGGCATCAAAGTTTCTGTTTAAATCTACACCATAATAACCATTACAGTTGCCAGTTGTAAACCTTCGTCTATTTTTACGCCACAGTCTATTACTCTATAATAGTATAGAAAGTTTTCTCTCAATTACACAAAGCATTCTCTCAATTACACAAAGCATTTTCTCAATTACACAAAGCATTCTCTCAATTATGCAAAGCATTTTCTCAATTACACAAAGCCTTATCGTATTTACACAAATCTTTCTCTCGATTATTTCACACAATTCCTAGGTCCCACTGGGAAAAATACATCGTCGATGTGGAAATAAACAAATTATCTCCCGATGGAACATTCCCGAGGCAAACGTGCTCAGTGAGACCTAGGCATTGAAATGATGGCCGATTCAAATAGAAATGTACTTTATGCAAAATTCAGCCAATCAGCGTCATGGGAAGAATGGACTTTTCAACCCTCGCCGAAATATTCGGGGATACAATCCCGAGATCGGGAAAGAGTCATCGAAGGGTCGCCGAACATTCGCCGAGGATTCAAATATCCTTGAAGGTCCCCTGATACTTCCCCGAGACACCGCCTGGGGAAAAATGTTTCGCGGAATTTCCATGAACGCATCCCCGAGCTTCCCCGTGGATCTTGAAAGCTCTGGGGATGCCTCCCCAGCTTGTTTTCCCGACAAAACGTCGGGAACCCATCGAGAAAAATTTGATTACAATTAGATTACAAGTTAGCTTCGTTCAATTTTGTTCTGATTTTTACACTACATTGTAACCAAGCACACGAGTTCTACTTTTATATACCAGCCAATCATATTCCAACCCCAAATCCAACAAAATCTTTCGTATTTGCTTGCGTTTCTAAAATTCCCCAAATTCACCACAAAATGTAGCCCTGCATACAACCAAAAATACTTTGACGAACAAGTCCATGCTTTTGGAATATGGACATCAAACAAAATAATATGCCAGATTGTGAACAACATGAAAACTAAAAAAACAAAAACTAGTTGATTTTGACGGAGCTGTAAATAAAAGTTCGGTTATCAAAATGATTGAATGTTGATTTCAATAGCGAAAAGAAAGAAAATACATACCGTACTAGAACGGGTATATTCATAACCGTCTGGGTTGGCTGCAGGAACAATAACCCAATCAAACTGGTTTAATAACTCTGTGGCTGTACTCTCACTGTTGTAGTTTGCCAATAACTTTATAAATACGATAAAACATTCAATAGTTGGATGGAAAATATAAAGATTGATAAATGGGCCAACCAGCAAAGTTGCGCGAGATCTTCATAAAGGCAGCCATTGTTTGATTGCTGTAACGTTTTGAACATGATTTTTTAACATCTTTCAGAAATATCCTGTTCGGATTATAAGATAATTCGAATAAATAATAGTATTTCGCATAAATGATGGCTTGAAAAGTGTTTACAAGACTGTGGTGTACATAATTAATCAGGAATTATGGCAATAAATCTAAAAAGGGCAATTGCGCGATTTAGGTTGACCGTATCAGAATCTTCAAATTAAATTTTGGGTTTGATATAACTTACCCGATCTATAAAGTAAAGACAAACGGCTGGACTTATCCATTCTCTTGCATGTATACCGCATTCCATAAAGATAGCCTGTTTGGTAGAACCTATTCCATTGGTTGAAAGCTAAAATATTAAAACTTGCATTAGCACTATGTTGTGGTTGGTTAAACGTGTGCAACTAGATCGGTTAATAATCCAAAGCGTTATGATCAACTACCAAACGCCAGTTGTTTTTTTATTAAATAAAGGGAAAAACTTTCCACTAAACCAAATCATGACCAAAGGCCGCAAATGAAAAGATCCATAGTTTGATAGTATTGGCCAACACAATGATGGAACGTATGATGTCCTTCCCTTACTTTATCTCAAAAAAAGTACCCCTCCCCCCAACCCACAAAAACAACCCAAACCAACAGGTCAGTGCAACTCCCTTTTATCGGACTGTAAGTACCGGCTGTGAAAAGATCCATAGTTTGGTAATATTGGCCAACACAATGAGGGAATGTATGACATTCTTCCCTTACTTTTTCTAAAAAAAAAATTACCCCCCCCCCCCAAAAAAAAAAGAAAAGAAAATTAAAAAAAATACCGGTTGTGTATACTGTCCAGGATATATACTTACAGTTATGTAAGAAACATCTCTATTATCATGTGTTTTATGAGGCGTAACACCAACATCTGGTACCAGACTGGGATAAGTACTTTTAAATGTGTTCAAATAATTCTGAATCTAAAGGAAAAAGAAGAAAAGAAAAACCGCGTCATAAAGTCATACAGAATAGTAGTTTCTGTGACCTAAAAAAACATTTTAACCAAATATGCATATACCTTGACTCAAGTGAAGAGACTAACAGAATCATGACTAATAATTGTATAAGCATTATGTCCTCCAGGATTCATCACATCACAGACGTCTATTGCCCAGCTTGTCGGTCTAATGTGGTGAGTGACACAACAATGGGGGTTACCGGTGGGGTCACAGTAGAACCGACCACCTTTAATCTGTTCTATAATAACAGCTAAACAGCAAACATTTTCAGATATTTTATTTAATTTGAAACACTGTTTCTGGTGATGAAGATGTTCACAGTGTAAGACCCGCCGTACACGAGCAAAGAAAATTTGACAAATTTCTTTGACGGTCTCTTCAAATTTTCTTTGACCGTGTACGAAGGCAGCAAATAAATTTGACGATCACAGCGCCACTTCACATGGTTGGTCGGAACTGTGATGGAACCGCATTCATAGAACAAAAATAAACCCACTTGTGTACAGAAAATTCAGAATACTGATTTCCCAGCGTGATTACGATGCCTTTGACGCGTAGAAAAGCGGCCATGCGTTGTGGAATAGGTGTCCTGTTGTTGATGCGGTATCAGCACGATTACACCCGGCAACAACATCAAAATCGCAGATGGCGGGTCAAGCCATGGGCCACGGAATCGAGGAGGGAGGCACGGTGGTTAGGAACGAATTTAATTCCTGAGTTACGGGAAACTGATCCAGAAAATTTCAAGAACTTCATGAGAATGGAGACAGAAACATATGACGAAGTACTGCAATTGGTACAACCACTGATCACTAAACAAGATACAGTGATGCGGAATTCAATCAAAGCTAAGGATAAACTGAGTGTCAAAAAATGAAAGTGAAATCATTAGATGCGTGCGCAGATTTGTGGCAAATTTATTTGACGGCCTATCGTACACGAGCATAAGTTCCAAATCTTTGACACATTTATTTGACGAAAAGCTATGCATGCCAGCTTTTGTCAAATCTCATATGGCAAATGAAAATGTGGCAAATTTCGGAGATTTGTCAAAGAAAATTTGCTCGTGTACGACGGGCTTTAATGGTAGCAGGACTTCTTGCTGTCCCTTCTAGTCATAATTTGCACTTGCAGCAAATGTAAACTATGTTTGCCTTTCCCTAAGAGTTAGGAATAAACCGCGCCTTAAGTTGAGTGTTTGCCATTTTGCAATCACGTGTAATAAATTGACACCACTGACTCATTGTGAGCTTCCAGTCATATAATTTATTATCCAGTTGTATAATCTGAAATAACGAAGATACAAATATGCTCCTAAAACACTGAATTGTACAAAGAACATAAATATAAATAGCTCATCGTTCGGATGGGACGAAAAACCGAGGTCCCGTATACACATTGGCGTGCACGTAAACGATCCCTTGGCAGTTGGATATAAGAGTATGTCGTAGCGCCGCTGTCCGGGCAAAAGTTCCCTCATAGCACACTGTATGGCGTATGCCCGTCTTCATTAGCTCAGGTTAGGAGCAGAACAGTAGGACGTTAAACTCCATTTCATTTCATATCATTGCCCAGACAGCGGCACTACGGCCTACTCATATCGAATTCCAAACGTCATGGGATCTTTGACGTGCACGCCAATGTGTACACGGGACCAAGGTTTTTCGTCAGCCCTCCGTCCTGCATCACTGACACGCCGGAAAAACTTGGATGAACTTTCTCGGCCAATGTAGGGATCGAGCACCCGACCTCCAGTCTAGCGAGCCAGCGTCTTGCCAACTTGGCCACCGTGACTCCCTATGGTGTAGCTCTCGTGGTGATGAGAAAAATATTTTCGCTTTAAAACAAAATTAACACACTGAGTCTGAAAGAAAATAATCTTAGGGAATAATAATATAGTGGGTCCCTATGCCAACACTTACGGTAGCATAACTGTGATATTGTGCATTATTAACAATGTACTGGGTTGTTGCAGCTCTACTTTGTGTTTGTGGTTCAGGAGTATCCATCATTCTACAAAAAACAGTTAGTAGGTATGTTAAAAAAAAATATCATATTTTTCTGTGTCTTGTTCACAAGATATTAAACCGAAATACGACGAGAAATCCAAACATTATAATCGAAAGATTCTAAATATAGATGGGTTTCTCCCAATGAAAGATTCCATCTAGTTTTAGAAAATTCAACCTACCAAAAGTATGTGGACAGAAAGATAAATCCGCGAAACGCCTTCGAAATTTGCGACCGGCAAAATTTGAAATTTGATGGGGTATTTCAACACGCCCTTAGAAAACACATTGAGTTTTAGGAAATATTCTGAATTTTACAGTGTCCCCAATTATGACCCATTTATCAACCCCAAGTCGTTTTAAAAAAGTGTGAACAGATGACAGCCATTAATGGTATCATTTTTATTACTGTGTGCGTTGATTCTGTTTAGAACTTACTCTTGTACGTCTTCGTGAAGAACATTTGGATGACCTCCAGCATTTTTAAGAATGCCCATGACATCATTAAACTTATCTGGAGAAATTCTAAAAACGGCCTGGTGGTTGAGGAGGGGATCTATCCAGAAATCAGACTGCAAAGAATAAAAAAATACCAGTTAGAGATTCCAAATAAGTGTCAGCTACCGTTCGGAGAAAAAAACCTACTGAAATAGGGTTGTTCGTCTGTCTGACGATTCAAAATGTTCATTAGGCGAATTTCATGACTGAATTCGATTCTGCTTAAGCTAAACAGAAATAAGCAGTTGGTTTGTCCATGGTTTGGAACACGATAACTTTGTTTTAATTGAGTAATGTGACTAAGTTCGACTAATAAGCGATTTGATGGGTAGATCTTTTATGAAAAAGATAAATGTGCAATTTATAATAAACTGTTGTTATTTGAGCTGTTTGCTGATAGCTAATGAAAAGTGACCTGCATTTGTCACCCGGGGAATAAATATTTCAAAATGGACTAAAGTGGAAAAGTATGACTGTCCATCATCAACGTAAATTAAAAATGGCTGCACAGTGCAAATACTCTTGCACCTTAGTAAAATATGAAAAATCGTATCCTACTTCCTTCTGTTAAGTAATAACTTAAATTCTTACCCCTTCGATGCCACTTTCAACTTGTTCTAACGCCTCTAACTGTTGTTTTGTTGTTGGTGTCATGGACAATAGTTTGTGACTGAAAAAAACCCCAGATACTTTAACTTATAAACAGGTTTCTAAAATCTTCAAATAGTGCGATAAAAATAAAACATTTGAATTAAATCTCGAGGCAATGAACAATGATAACTTAAAGTGTATTTAAATCTTATTTGTGTAAGTAATGGGTTTTGACAACAAGTAAATTAGAAGGTATGTAACATTATTTTACTCTACTGTGTACTAGTATTATCAGCTCGATTCTTCGTTTTTACCCACCACGCCCACCCAAAAAACCCAAACAACCCAAACAAACAAAATCCAACACCAAACTCCATGAAAATTGACTACAAAAAAGGTGATACCATATCGCATCACAGAGTGAAACACATAGTGTTAGATTCCATGAATTTTCATATTTTAAAGCCATTAGATAATTTAGTAAATGATTTATATGATATAAAACAACTAATGGATTATATTTATCGTCTTACTTCCTGTATCCAGATCCTTCGGGATCATTCTTTTCCTGGTTCTCGGTCGGCAAGGCACACGCCACCGCCAACGCAACAGCGAAAATTAATGTCCCCTTCATTTTCCACCCAGTTCTCATAGATTTTGGTCTGTAGCAAATATACATATATATATACTATACGTAGAAGTAATTAAACCACTTAGCTAAGGTTTGCTAAAACACTTAATCGACTTAAGGGACACTGGCAAATTTATTGTGGGTATAAAGGGTTATTTCGGATTAATCTTTATCAACATCGCGCACCAAAACCTTCTATAAACGAGGATGCACAAATAATAACTGAGTGTGAAATATTCAGATATTACCGTCATCCCTTGGCTACACTGGATATTTTATAAAACTCATTCTCATACTGATTTTCTTTTTCGTTGGCTCTGTGTGTGTAATGGTGTGTGTGTATAAAAGGTATAAATTCGGGTGCTTTATAAATAGTATAATATACCCTATCTCACGCGCAACACTCTTTATGTGCTTTTCTAATAGAAACAGTGATACTGATTCAAGGTATACAATTATCAAATTGCCGTATGGGCTAATCCAATGTATTACATTGTCGCTTTAGCGACGAATGATTTAATTGACGAATGATTACGTGTAACCATAAATTTCAATTTCTTCGGCAATGGGGCAAATAAGTTAAAAGCATGTTCAATTTAAATGATGAAGAGTTTTCTTTGTTGTATTACAATGCTAGAGTATGGTTTTCGAAGATTTAATGGGAGAACATTTCTATTACCGCATCAATATTGAAGCCCAGTAAGAGGCTTGAGCTATGAGATATATGTTTCAAGTCTGCTCTCAGACTGACTAAAAGTGGTCGTCTATAATTCATATCTACTCAAAAAATATTCGAAGTCGATCAAGTTCACAGTGAAATACACATAAGAGTGCCTTATCTATCCTAAAGTATTTTCGTTATGAAGGTCAATTGTCGAATATGAATCGTATGACCACCTTGGTAATAATTATGGTTATACGTAGATGATATGAAATCATTGAAATCAAATGGCTATGGTTTTACAAACATGATTTCGTTTAATTTAACCTGGATAGTTCGGGTTAACATATTGCGTGGACATCGTTTTCGCGCCAATCTGATTAAAATACAGATCTATATTTCGTTTCTTTTTTTATACTTTCGATGGCCTACACTACATGAAGTAAAGACAAGTAAAACTAAATTTTGAACTATTAAAACGAAACGAAATAGGATCTGTGTTTTAACCAGAATGTTTTCGCGCCTGAAACTACTATTATATCCATCGCGTTTAGGCACGTACCTGACGTTTCCTTGTCGCAATCGTCACTCCAAAGTGCAATGCCTAAGTGAAGGGTAATCAGTGGCATGACAATCGATGGGTTTAGAGTGTTTTGCGCACCCTCTCAAATGGAAAAAATAATCACCGGTTTTCATTGTGTAAGTCCCATACATGTATTTTCGAAAGTGGATTAGGGATATTTTGGAATGTTGACCTGTACTTAATCTTTGACTAAATCAATGTGCTCTTATATTTTGCTAAGGAAGCAACAAATTTACCTTTACCATAAATTTTATTTGAAAACAGACACTCTTCGGTAACTGCTAAGCGGTACCAATCACCGACAAGAGCGCTTTGTTTTCAATAGTGCACAATGTTTTGTAAAGAGTGATCGACAAGAAAAGCATATGTTATATTATATCCAAAATTTTATACAAAATAGACAAAAAGATGTGTAAGTTAAATGTTGACAAAGCGACGTAATACCGTCCGATTCCATATGACGACATCAGGGCCCGTGGCAGGGGGTACAGCTGGAACACTTGTCCAGGGACCAGGAGTCTAGAGGAGTCCGGAGGTATGCTGAGTAATGTTTTATAAAAAATTTGTTGGTATAATTAATGAAAAAAATAAATAAAATACACTGTTACTTGATGATAAGGTAGAAGAAATGAAATGAAATGGGGTTTAACGTCCTACTGTTCTGCTCCGACTGTGCTTATGAAGACGTGCATACGCCATACAGTGTGCTATGAGGGACATTTTGCCTGAACATCGGGGCTACGTCCTAATCTTATATCGAATTCCAACTGCCAACTGTCATATATTTAAACGTTTTTTAAAATCAGATAAAAATATACCATATTTTTACACTATTTGCGTTCGAGGGGCGGCCTTTTTTTCCTTCAGTTTTGGGCCGATTTTCACAAAATTCGAACTCAGCCGTCATTAGGATATGACGGTAAAATATATTCAAACGTTTTTTTTTTAAATTGGATAACAATTTTAACCTCTAGAGGGGCCACAAGCTAAAAACGCGATTTTTCGTACAATCAAGGAACTATCCGATATGCGCGAATATCGACAGGAATCGTGACTTATAAATATGTGATTCAAGTTTCACCTAGAGGTGCCGCAACCTTGATATACCATATTTTTACACTATTTACGTACGAGGGGAGGCCATTTTGTCCATCAGGTTTGGTCGGATTTTCACGACATCCGAACTCAACCGACATTACGGTGTAACGGTGATATATTCGAACGTTTTTTTTTCTTGTTTTTTTTTTAAATCGGATAATAATTATGATCTCTAGAAGGTCTCATTAGAAATGCGAAAGGAACCAAGATGTTTGCGTTATAAACATGCATTTCAGATCTCACCAAAATCAAATGACAATTGTGACCCGTAGAGTGTCCACAAGCTAAAAACGTGGATTTTCGTACAATCAGGGGTCATAATCCATGACGTTAAGGTTCAATACATGCCAATATCGAAAGGAATCGATATCTTTGGGTGATAAACCTATATTTCAAGTTTCGTTGAAATCGGATAAGAATTGTGACCTTTGGGGTGTTCACAAACAGTTGTGGACGGACGGACGGACAGGGGCGACGACAATATAAGTCCACATGAAAATGTGGGCGTATAAAAAGGAACATTATGCCTTCAAATATTAATTCAAAATGTTTCCATAAGCCGAGTTTTCGGTACTCAACTCCCACTTGGTATGTTTTGCTGTCTTAAAACAATTCAACCTATATTTGAAGTTTTCTCAAAATCGGATAAGAAATGTGACCTGCAGAGTGTTGTGGACGGACAGGGGGACGGCATAATACGTCCACATGAAAATGTTGGCGTATAAAAAAGAATACAATAACCATAAACACAATCATTGATGATAACTGTTATTACAAGATAGGCTATCTTGTAATTACAATGTACAAGATAATCAGAATTTTTTTTTTCATTTGATTGACCTTAATGGGCTTCCGTAAAGTTTCTCCATAAGTAGCGATGGTCATGGCTATCATGCTCGTTCAGCAAGACTTGCAGGAACATTTTTTAAATATCTCCAACTATTCCAAATGGCTCTTCTCTAAATCGAAGAAGTACCGCGTAAAGGTTACCTATAAGGCAAGGTCCTTTAAGTAGAAATGCGTTTAGTGAAACTCCCCCTGATTTATGCGCTGCGTCGAATACGATCCTAAGGGGTGTAGAGACTTTGTCTGGACGGTAGACACCGTGATGTGGAAGGTAGTATACAGGCTTGACTGGTTGGTGTATTTCTGTTTGACTCAATTTATATTCGTGACGTAGTCTTCCATAACTTGGTTGTAAAGCTCCGCTTTGGCTCTATCCCTTCTGAGACTGTGTTCTAGTGAGATGAGGCGTCTCTCAGCAACTTGGTAATTATTAGGCAGTTGGATGGGATCGTTCCTCTACGGCAGACGTATTTCAAACCCCTCACCTCTCTTATGACATGTCGACTCGAATAGGTCTCGTGCCTGTTTGTCTTCTCTAGACATCTGGACTTTAGGACATTTACAATCAATAGCCAGGACACCCATTGACTAAAACTCGTAGAACTTGGCAAAGTTTACGGTGTCGACATGACAGATGGAGATGGATAACATTTGACGGGACATCGACTTAGCTGGGCATCCTAGTAATGAGCGTTTCGCTAATGGCTCATAAGGAAGGCCTTGGCGCACGTCTATGTCTGCATGGAGATGACTTACTGTACCCCAAGTATGGGGTCTATGGGCCCTGGCGTCTGACTGTAGTTAATCCCCTTTAAATGTTCAAATGAATTTAAATACCCCCGATTCAACTCTGGAACGTCTAGTATGGTTGTATCGAGCTCATAGGCTTCTATGTTGAACTCTTCTACCCCATTCAATGCGAAAATCTTAAATTTAACTCGTCGGCTATGACTCTGAGAAAACTGGTGTCCTCCAACAGCAACAATATCAGTACGTTCTCGTTGACCCTGAAGTCCCAAGGCTTTAGAAAAGGCTGCGCGTATCGTTGTGGTACCCGAACCACTATCAATCAGGACGTTTCCTCTTAAAACTCTACCGTTCGGTGCTCTAAATAACACTCTAACAACTGGCAAAATACCACGGCGATCTAACATTGTACGAGTGGGTCTGAATGTAATAGTGTGTTAATTCCGCATACATTTTTTCTACGGCATCTGAATATATCATGACCCGCCGTCAGACACGAAAAACATAGATGATTACACGTTACATGTTCAAATTTTTCCTTAATGTTTAAAAGCTTTGAACCGATCACATTCACTCAATTTATGACTAGCTTGACACATCGAACATTGTCTGATGGTAGATTGCTTCGGACTAGAGTCGTTGGAAGTGTTCTTATGTATGGAACTTGACGCATTGACTGACTTTTTATGTGGAAGGGGGTGAACATTATTTTGATTTGTAAACCCTGAACGTTTTATATCCCCAAAATCTGGGTCAAATTCTGCTTTCTCTATAGTGTCACTCGCGTTTATGTCATCAAAGTTATTTAAAAGCTTTAGATTTGGGATGGCATTAATTATATTAATGGAGAGCTCCTTCAAACCAAACGTATCATGTATTCTTGCGCCTTTGGTGAGTTTGTTGACGTATGTTCTGGCAATCCTGCTCGGATCCCCGAATTGATCCTAAAGAGTTTTTAACGCAGTAGCGTACATATTGCCCGAAAGGCCGATACCTAATAAGGCCCTTTTCGCGTCGCCTGACATGTGCATTTTTAATTGTGTAAGGCGTATCGCGTCAGTAAGATGTCTCTTGTCATGAACGTGCACTTTAAATCGTTGCATAAACTCTATATAGTGTTCTGAATCGCCGTCAAATGCGTCGATTTTGATGACTGGGATGTCTCTGTTACCTTCCAGGCGGTATAAAAGTTCCGACATAGACAAACTTGAACAAGCTATGTCACTTTCATGAACCGTTTCTTCGAGTTCCCGTAGCTCGTCTATCCAGGAATCAACGGTCTTAGTCTTAGCATGCTTGCTTGACGTGTTACCGTTTTCTTCTGACGACTTAGGCAAGAGATTTTCAGGTAAAGGATCGACACTGACAGGTGCTAATGTTTCTGAGATAGGGGTAACTGAATTTGTCTCTTCATTGGTAGGTGCTTGATCTGTTTGATCAGGGCTTAGGGGTGCTCATTAACTATATCTTCAATACTAAAATAATCATTGTTTAATTCTGCTTCCCACTGATCCAGTCTTTGTTGTTCGGCAGGTGAGTCAGTATAGTCATATATTTCCCCATGAACAAAAGAACACTGCGCATAGTCGATCTTAATTTGTTTTATTTCTCTCGTAAGACCTCTAACGTTGGCCTCCCCCTTTCTGATATTAGACTGAACACGATTTATTGAATGAGTAAATTTGCTCTTGAGCTGTTTTCTCTGACGTTTAAGAGATGTGACGTTTTCTTCATTATCTTGCTCTTCACCATTATTAATTGTCGGTGGATTGGCTTGTGGATTTTCAGGATTTGTGTCGATTTCTTGATCTTGACCTTGGACTGACATCTTGACGACTTGGTACTCTGATTAACAACACTTGCTGATTTCTATAGTAAAATAGAACGACACTCGAACGACTTAATTATACAAACCGGTATTGGGTATGTAATACTTAAAGATACATTATGGGAGATTAGATAAAGAGCTGGCAGTTCTCACAATAATAGTTAAAAACTAGATAATGTTAAGGGAATTTGCTGAAAATTTCAGTCAAATTGATCCACTCTGAACTGAGATTTTAGCGATTGAATTTTCAGCCTAGCCTCGATAATCATTACTAAAGTTGGTACGATAAAAAAAAATAGTCTCGATTATCCATTTCATGATTAAATCAAGAATGAAAGTGGAGCAGCAAATGGTATCCTAACCCAGTAACATCGCAGTCTAGCGTTGACATCGAGAGTTGATTATGGTCTGGATAAGTTGAGTCATGTCTAATTAATAATTTAGATAACATCTCGGGCCCAAAGAAAGACCTGAAATAGGCAGATTTAGCTCTTGCATAAATTATGTTTAATTTATGCTTATACGTGTAAGCTATTTGAATCCGCATTTAGGTGTAATGTTATACGGTGGCGCTGTGTGGTGCCGTTTTGATGACATGTTGTGAGCAAGACAGCGGTTAAGCCATAGCCAAGTGATCACTGAACTAATACATTTTGAGTCAGTCCATTTCGTTACTGCTTCGGTTACTAGGCTTTTAGGCAAGACATTACCACAGCCTACTGCACTTTTTATTACTTGGTTTAGTTATTTTATTTTTAACATACGTAGTTGGACTCTGTTACAAAAACATACAAGCATATTATTATTGCAATTACAATAAATACATTAAGATGGAAACATAACAATCAACAACAACAAAAACGAAACGGTTAATTTCCCATTGAAAACTCGTCTACGGTTTTTCCTTAAAGATGTATCATCTATTATGTGACATTTAGATAAAGAGCTGACCGTTCTTGCTATGGATACTTTGATCTCATCTAGCTGATGGACAGAGGGGATAGTAACCGGATATTAATATACACGTATATAAGAATATATATTTTGATATATTTGGTTAGCGATAAAACAAACGAGATTCTGTTGTATTCTTAAAATTGTCGGGCCTCTAAGTATATTAACAATAGAAATTTTGTCCTGGTTATTTCGATTTTCATCTGCCATTAAGGGGCACCCTCACTAGAAAAGGGAAAGAGAAAAATTTCTCGACCAACACCGGGAGCCATTAAAATATAATGAATAAATTACAGACTGACATGTTCTTACGCACAAACGAGAGAAATTCGTAAATCGTTCCAAGCACAAATGTAGAATTTCCATAAATACTAAAGATATATATTTATGTTCTTTAGTCACTAGTCAGTCATCGCTATAAAACAATTTAACAATTTATAATTGGCTTTGTCTGCAATATCACCTCTGTGGAAGCGGGCGTTAAATAAAGCTATTTCACACATATAATTGATTTCGTCTTCCATGAAGTTCACTCTAGTAAGGTAACTGCAAACCTCTTTTTCATAACGACAATGAAAATAAGTGTAGCTGATACTTCAAGTGACCTTTTGAAGATAGGTTTTTAGCAAGTTAGTGGGTAAGCTTAGCCACTAGTCGGTTAGGTTGGAACGATGTGGGCAATTTTGAGCCAGTTCATTTCGTGTTTGCCTCATTTACTACACTTTTTGGTAAGACAGTGAAATAGCCTACTAAGTTCCATACGAAAACGGTACCATTTTCAGTCCCGAGTTCCAGACGAAAACTGGTGCCCTTTTCAGTCCCGAGTCCCATTCACAGAGAACCCCGCTACACTGGTAGGAACACAGAGACAAAGGTTGTAAAGGCAAACTCATGTATCTTATTAGTCTTAATTTCAGACACACCCACTGGTTTTCCGACAACTGTATTAATTCTTTTTTGCTACTCCATGCAGCATCAATGGGATAACACGTGAGCAAACAAAACGCCAACCTTTCTCCTTTTTCATTTCTTTACCTAACTTCAGTGGGTGCATAAAATGACTCGATGGGTTGAAACTGGCAGTATAGTTTGAACGGTTTTCGTACCATAAAACAACACCACGTATGGGTACAATATTTTTGCGGTGATCCAATCCTCCCATTACAGTAGGTAGCGTCAATTCTAACATCACCCCATGCCTGGAAAAGATTTCTAAAAAGTATAACATACGGTCCTTAAAACGCTTTGGTACATATAAAAAATCCGCTACAGCTCGTAAAAGTCCATCGTCCGATTGTGTATTACTTTTAAGCATCTGATTAAAGTCATGAATTATAGGTGCTTTTTCAGGATTAAGGGATGGGATTGTTTGTAGAAAGTTGAACAAATTATTATACGCCTGTTTTCCAGACTTTCGTTTCCACCAAATCCAACGATTTCGTTCATAAGAGTCTGACTTATTAAAGACTTGCAGAGATTTTTGAAACCAAAATTTATCGCGTGGTAGATCTGCTATATTCCAAGTATTGAGTAGTACGTCATCACCCATAATGATATAACCACTGACGTCATAGTTCATAGTTATTGCATGACTTAAACAATTATATATTACGATACCTTGAGTGGTATAAGTTTTAACAAAGCTCACCCTTTGTTTTAGATTTTTTGAAACCGCTTCAAATTGTCTAGTATCGTTTGCACAAAACAGCATATGTGGGAAATGAATACTGTATAATGTCTGTAAATTATGGATGTTATTTAAATGTGGAAAGTTAAACACTATTATTAACAATATGTCCTCGTATTGTTTGTGTGCTTTAAACATGTTGTGTGAGATAGAGACTTGAGCACCTGAACACATTTTAATCACCCTGTTTATGTGATTCCATGACATACCATTGGTTTCCACAGCACTGGAATATATTGAAGGTGGATTCTGTTCAGAAGGCCAAAAATACACTGCCTTGGGGTCTCTGGGGTCTTTAGATACTTCCGATTTAATATTGCTGATATTTTGGAAAAGAGACTGCATATGAGAAATGGGTTTGGTACTGTGTCTTTGTGGTAACACAAATCCTGCTGCTTTCAGATCATTCAGCCATGATTTTGCCAAATCATAATCACTATAGTCCCAGAAATCATGATTCACCATTTCACTACTGAGTCTCATAATACAATCATAGAATATAAAATCCTCAGGACATTGCCATTGCCTCAAGAACTTTATCACATCTTCCGTTTGAAAATAAACACGTTTTTCATCGACGACAGCCTTATCCAAAGTAAAATGTTCGCTATCCGTGTGGACAGCATTGGGTGGAAAAAATGCCAAATTGCCATCAATTTCCCATAAAAGTCGCTGGATCCAATATCCGCGCCAGATATCTGTCTCACTATTTGTCACGGTTGTGGGTAACATTAGTGCCCATAAAGCATTGTACAGGAAGAGCGTGTCTTTGGAATTAAAGGGAGAGAACACTCCAGCTGGTAAAATCACAGGAGGTGCTCTGGTATCAAACGTAGTGTTAAAATGAGCTTTTGTCATTTTGCGACTCAATTTTAAAATTGCGTCGACGTCTGGATCGTTCGATATTATTCCCTGTTGGATTATGGGTGTTTTAAAATCATGCAAGATATATTTATTGTTTATTTCCTCTCCTATTGCACTTAATGGATAACCCCGGGGCCACAATGTAGGTTGGCCAAAATGGCGATAGGGATTAAACAAATTTTCGCCTGCATACACCAAACCTCGCATCCTCGTCTCAAATTTAAATCGTCGTAATCCACCCAATAGGCGCACGTTGTCATCAGTCTCAAAAATCACTTTGGCGCCATGAGAAATAGCGTAGAGATAACCGATATTTTTCCTGGCGTAGCTTCCTTCTGGTATGAAATCTGCTGTTTTATAACCAAGTTGACTCTGTTCAACAATGTCTAAATATACACAGTTGTTTAATCTGAAAACAAAACAACATGGAACTAAAATAATCATACAATAGACAAGTCACGTAATTCAAATAGTTGTTGTTTACAGTCTTACATCTATTTCAATACTTCGTTACGTTTTAATTTTCCGGTGTGGTTTCCCCTTGTCAGTGATGCAGGACGGAGGGCCTGACAAGGACAGCTGTCTAGTCGTTCAGATGGGACGAAAAACACATTGGCGTGCACGTAAAAAATCCCTTGGCAGTTGGAATTCGATATAAGAGTAGGCCGTAGCGCCGCTGCCCGGGCAAAATTTCTTCATAGCACACTGTATGGCGTATGCCCGTCTTCATTAGCCCAGGTTAGGAGCAGAACAGTAGGACGTTAAACCCCATTTCATTTCACGTTTTAATTTCTCCTTTCAGTCATCTTAATTCGTCGCAACAAGTGTAGAAGTCCAAATCTCAAGAAAAAACACAAAGCTTTGTCAGATAATCCCTAGCTGATGAAATTCACTGGTCCTCACCTGTGACTGATTATTAAGCCATAGGCGCTACGGAGCATCATACATTTTGAAAACTAACCCCCATGAATCGCTTAGCAACGTGTCGAATTAACCAAGAATTACGAAAATTTCAGTGCCACTCATTTAGAAATGAAATGAAATGAAAATGGGTTTAACGTCCTACTGTTCTTCTCCTACTGGGATAATGAAGACGGGCATTCGCCATACAGTGTGCTATGGGGGGAAACTTTGCCCGGACAGGCGCGCTATGGCCTACTCTTATTTCTAATTCCAACTGTCAAGGGTTCTTTAACGTGCATGCCAATGTGTACGCGGGATCTCGTTTTTTCGTCTCATCCGAACTACTGTACGTTATCCATGCCATGTTTCCGGCCTACACCACTGACAAGGTGAACCGCACCTGAAAATCCCGATGAGCAACTAATTTAGAAGCTTAGAAATGTTTTCAAGAAAAGTCAATACAAGTCATAAAACGAGCTTGTCCGGAGAATAAATCAAGAGTTCTAAAACCCAAATAAAACTTGTCAGATTCAATTTCAGTGAGTATGTGGGTGGGCAGGACGATTTAGCCAATACTACCCAAATACCACCACAGTAAATGACCTCAGTTGGAGGGGGGGGGGGGGCAACGACAATTTTACTATTTAAATAAACAATGAGATAGATTCTAACCAAGACACTCCTATTAAATAGTGCAAAAAGGAATGGAAATATTCTTACCGTACTGTCGGGATTGTGTCCCTATTCAATGCCACAACTACAACTTTCCACCCAGGAATTCTGGTCAGAGCCCTAATATCTTCTTCCCTAAATGACGATGTTGTCACTACAATCCATTTATCATTTTGTAAAAGTGGTAATCTAAAAAAACACATATATATATATCTATATCATAATCTGAACCCAGTATCGAGGAATGCAAGGGCATTCGTAAAATATGCGTGTTTTAAAGTTTTTAATATAACTCCACAAGACGCTAAAGCAATTTAAATTTTAACCTGCCCAAGAAACAAGATATACCAGAAATACATCAGTATATAATCAGACTACTTCCCATACAAATTCAATCTGATTAAAATACAGATCTATATTTCGTTTCGTTTGTTTTATACTTTCGATGGCCTACACTACATGATGATCTGACAAGTTATAGCGATAGGTCACGTCAGGGGTCAAAAGACCGACTTATGACCCTATGACGTCAGACATTTGATTAATCAATCAGCATTGATGTTACTAGTGGATTACCCACAGTTCCGTGCAAAACACGCCTAAAGCTCACCGTAACAGACCGTTTCATTGGCTTATCCCTGACACCATTCAGAACAGGAGTTAAATAACAATTCTTCCAGATCCAAGTGTAGTAAAGACAAGTAAAACGAAATTTTCAACTATAAAAACGAAACGAAATAGGATCTGTGTTTTAACCAGTTTGCATACAAATTGTGTTCTGTTCAATTCTTAATTGGTCATAAAAATGGGCCCTACTGAACTTGCAAGTTACACCCTCTGTAATCGTATAAGAACACAACTGTATAAATATGACCCATTATACATAACCCAAACCTGGTGCATAATGTGAACCTGTATCGAGGAATATTCGGGCAAACTAAATGAATTTAAAGATCATCTGAGTGCTTTTAGATCACTTCATTTCAACTCACAGATGATTTTGGCCTGCTAATATTGATTCAATGTTTGTAAATAGAGACGACTCTGCTTACTGCTTAATCGGTGTGGGGTTTACCAATTAAAGAAATGAAATGGAGTTTAACGCCCTACTGTTCTGCTCCGAACCGGGCTAATAATGAAAACGGGCATACGCCATACAGTGTGCTATGAGGGAAAATTTGCCCGGACTACGGTCTACTCTTATATCGAATTCCAACTGTTAAGGGATCTTTTACGTGCACGCCAATGTGTACACGGGACCTCGGTTTTTCGTCCCATCCGATCGACTAGACAGCTGTCTTGTCAGGCCCTCCGTCCTGCATCACTGACTAGGGGGAAAATCTGGATGAACTTCTCGGCTAATGCAGGGATCGAACCAATGGGTCTTACCCACTTAGCCACCGTGACTCCGTTACCAATTAAAGAGATTTACATTGTCGTCAATGCTAATTAGGCCATTTTTAGACTAACATAGCAACGTGTGAAATGCGAAAACTAAGAATTTGCATAACATGTCAAAATTAAGTTTCATAAATCTCAAAGAAGATTTCATAAAGTTTTAAATATTTTAATTTATTCTCAGTTTTAATATTATGTCTACTCCTATGAAACGTGATAGAAGATCAAATAAGATTAAAACAAAAATGGGGGTTACATAATCTCTTGATCTCAATCAAATAAAGATGGCGGCGAAAAGTCGGGGTGTTCCCACGGGGTGTTCCCACTTAGCCGGCAGGATTTGATCCAGAGTTAATCCTAGAACAATGGTGTTATAAACTCAAGTCCATATTTTTTTTAAGACTAAAACTGTATTGATTTTAACAAATTTAACTTTTATTAAATAACATTAAATAGCTTACACATATGAAAATATATTGATTTTAACAAATTTAATATTTATTAAATAACATTAAATGATTTACACATATAAAAATGCATTACAATTTACACATTTAACTTTTATTAAATAGCATTATATAATTGGATTATTGGAAATAAAGCGAATATAAACCTGAACGTTTGCCATTTTAAAATAAATATAATTTCGACACAGATCGACCATCTATTTATATTAATGTAGTGAATTGAATTCATGTTTGAAATCATAACGCCGGCATGAACTGTGTTCAAAATGTCATTAATTAGTTGGTTAATAAATTTTATTAAGAGGGATTAAGAGCTCATTAACGCTGAACACTAGTGAACAATTCTTGAGTGACTACTTTTAAACAGACTATAGTTTTAAGATCAATCAAAGGATTAACAGTCTGCCGGCTAAGTGGTAACACCGAAAATTCATTGTAAACTAAGCAATAAATAAATATAAATTACGTTAGCATTGACCTATATGGTCTTTTCTACATCGGAAGACCCCTTTAAAAAAAACAATTTCTGTGTAGTCCCTAGAGTCCATGAGGTTATCATCTGATGTTCAGTTATCTAAGAGATGGATTAGATCAAAGTTACTAATGATGTGTGGTGATGTGGATAAATTGATGGAGTCTAAGATGGTTGGAACGTGCTCAACTATCTGATACGTCACTTACTTTCTATGCCTTTATACTTTAAAAGACTAGGTAGATAAAGCGGTGTCCTGTTTGTATTGTCTATGCTACGTCCTGGTGACTCACGGATAACAACCCTTGCACTGAGGTTTAGCGTCAGATACCATATTTTATAAAACGAATCAGCAAAGGGGAGAAAACGGATATATTCATTTATAAATTAGTTTTAAAAAGATAATAAAAATGCTTAACTTACTTTTGGGTAACTTTGATTACTTCTGGAACTTTGTATTTGTTACTTCTATTGTAAATTAATACAAGATTAATTAATATCAATACCAATAATCCCGTACTTATTAATTTACGCAGCTTGTTGCCCTTGATAAAACGTACCATCGTGACAGAATTGAAAGCTGAAATTGATAAAATATAGAATTTTATTGTTTTACTTGTAATGTCTCATAGGCCCTTTTTTTTAGCCAGAAATCATTTGCATTATGTTGCATAAAAGTAACTATTTTGTGATAATTTGGTGATTCAATATATATAATGATACCTATCCAGTTCAGAATATTTCTGAATAAAGTCTCAATTATTAATGTTTTCCCATCACTAAACTCTCTTTCAATAAACAAAATAGAGTAGGTCATAGAGAATTTTGGTTACACCCGTTTTCCTTTTTTTTTGGGTGTGCCTTTGTCAAAGAAAAACGTGTTTATTTTAATACAAAGGTGAACGGTAGCCTATCATTTTACCGAAAACCTTGATCTTGATGCATATCGAGATTATGTTTGTTTTTTTTATTTCATTCTGACATACATTAAATCGTATTATAAGCTAGCTGTCTGCCCTCTATATGCGTCTTCAGATTTTAATATTGTATACAAAATACTGAAAATACAATGCATATATACTCTTTAAAAAAAGTGGGGAATATTCAGAAACAATACAAAACTGCGGAAATGCACTGGCTGTTTTTATTAGAGGTAACCAGTGTATGTTACTAACAGGCCAATTACCTACACATGAACATAAACAGTTCATATGGGCGGCTGATCTGACGGCCGTATTTCACTCGTAAAGAGATACACCGTCAAAAGTGAAAATGGACGTTTTTGAATTTTGTCTTAATAATGAGTAATTACTCCACCAATCCTCAGACATTCAGCAATTCGTCCTGGTAGGCTCCTAATCAACCGTCCAATCACGATTTGGGGCCACGGCCAATTCTTGCAGTGTTGTCGGTTGACGTTGACGTCGACAAACACGTCTTCCGATCAAATTAAACGTAACACACTAAAGCAAAGATAACCCAAACAGTAAATCTTATGCAAGAACCGATAGGAAAGCAAACATGGATAGATAAACCAGCACATGGCAGTTTTCATCAACCCCTCCCTCGTGTATGGCGCTATTGCGTGTGCAGCTCAGTGGTTCTGTTGGGGCGATAAGTTCTTCATCTGTGAACATACTCTCAAAGCATGTCAAGTGTCCATGACTATTTATCATATCAGGTATTTGCATTTCAATATCTCCTACTTTTTTTGAAGAGTATATATACATTCTAAGAATAATAGATTTCCATGACAATGGTAACGTACAACAAAAGGTTAAAGGTATATAATTTACATTGTCTTCCTGGTATAGTTTGACAATAGCCGATACAAGAATAATGAGATGAAATCAATGTTCATAGACGAATTATGTAATCTGGCTATAAAACTTAACCTTTTATTAATTTACATAGTCTTGCTGGTATAATCTGACAATAGTACAATACAGGAGTAATGGGGTGAAATAAATGTCCATAGATCAGTTATGTAATCTGGCTATAAACTTAACCTTTCATTATTATGTATATCATTTTATTCTCTAATAAACCGATAATAAAAAAAAAATACTGAATTACAGGGTTTAAAATCTCCTTATACAGTGTCGAAGTAAAAAGTGTAAAAACATATATTAAGATTTATTTATATATTATTAGAATACTAACAGGGTGGCGTGGGGGCAAATTAAACATTTAAGTCTGGCAAGAACCGGCCAATAAAGTATGATTCCATATTTCGTCTTTTGATTGTATATATCACATAGTGTTTATCATTACACCATTTAGTTTTTGCATCATCGGTCCATTTAAAGTATAATACATACATTTATACATACATTTATATCATAGAATTTCAAATCATTTAATATTCATTCATTATTGTCAGTACATGCTATATTTTTAATATTGTTTGCAAAAGAAATGTTACTTATGTTATTCTAAAAGGATAATATTTTATTGTTACCTGTAATTATATTTAGCTTGGCCTTCCCCTAAAATGTGTTATCTCCCATTAAGGAGGTCAGACTCTTAACATAATTAGCAAATTGTTGAATACATTATAAGGGAATGCGTTTAAGCTGTAAGGCGCTAGAGTTAAATACGGATCCTTTCTACGAAATGAAAAGTCACAACCTCATAGTCCGCACCTATCGTTTTCGTCATTACGTTTTAATATATTCATAATAATTCTTGTCGGAAGTTAGGCTATTATTAAAGAACCATTCCCCTTTACCCCGTACATGTTCGGAACTTTTTAATTTTAGTATTATTACAGAGTGGTCACTTATTGAGTAGCTTTTATTGAACATTCTTTAACATACGAATAGTTTTGAATATTATCTGTGATTAGTTGATAGCCAATCCTACTTTGAATAAGAGGTTTAGGCTGTCTCCAAGTGTATTTTGAACAAGGTTTTTTTTATTCTAAATATATCTATCAGTCCAAATCTTGTTATGATTTTGTTAATGGTGTCCTTACCGTTTTTCCTGGTTTTAAAATTGCCCCCTGTTCGATCAATTTCGACGTCCGTTTTGTTATTAAAATCGTCTCTTACGATAAAAGCATCGAAGTTTAAATCATTTTCTAGCATTAATTCATATAAAGGGGTAAAATATTATTATTGTGGAGAATTAGTATTCGGGCTGTAGGTATTTATAAGAATATAATTTGTATTATTTATATTTATTACAACACATGCATAATAACCCTTTTCGTCGATTATCTCACTAACAAAATTTACATTGCAAAATACTATTTGAAAATAGTGTTGAATTATTATAAATTTGTATCAGACGTGGCGAGAAAAGATTCCTTTTGGCGAACAGAGAAGAATCACGGTGAACAATTTTTGTAAGGATTCCAAAATAGCATTAAAACAGAGGTGGAGAAGAGCGGTATTTTCATATTGCAGCTATATAAGATGGGAACGGTCAGTGGACATCGTCCGATCTGGGACCGTTCCTAAAGGAACTAGGTTCGATTAAGCGCAAGGCATTTATCTGCGTGCAGTACTCTTGCTGTCCCGGTGAGCTATGATGATAACAATAACACTAATAAAGCTAGCTTGTAATTCTTATGAAACTGTTTATAATTTGTCTGCATTTGTTAACGTTCTAATGTGACCCTCCCTTTTAATATTGGTAGTAGTGGTGGTAGTAGTAGTAGTAGTAGTAAAAGCAACATAAATTCACATTATAGCTATTCACCGTTCAATGTTTCAGAAAATTATGTTAATTTCCGTGGTCGTGAGTATCTTTTAATGGGGCCGAGAACATCTTTTCACCAACATCATCAAACACGTCAATTTGTACCTTCTTTCGACCGGTTCATTTAGCGTACACACACCCATTAAAATACCACACTTAATTCACTCGATCAGACTGAAGTTTCTTTAGTTGGGAGTTGATATACGGCAATTATGTCTTATCTCCAAATATCAACAGGGGTTATTATTTTGATATGATCTCCGAATGTTACTTTCAAATCCTGTGATTCTTGTGTAGGTAAACAGAAAACCCTTAAGTTCATTTTACGCGAATATTGTTCATTGTAGTTGGCCATTTTTATTGATTCGTTTTTACGTTTATTTTCTTTCTTTAAGTCTGTATTTAAGTCTTCAACTTTTCTTTGTACCGTACATTTTTCGGCCTTCAATTGTTTAATCTTGATTGCCGTGTTCTCATATTTCTCGCTTAGCTGTGCTCTGGCTCCCATGTTTTACTTCAGTCTTCATTATCTAAAATACTTTCACTTATTTTGTCTATATCACCTTTTTGATCGTATTCGTCATTTCATCTTTTATCGTATTCAAGATTTCATAGATACCTGAAATGTCCTTCGTCGTATCTTCTGATGTAATGTTGCTTTGCTTTATTGCGCTTCTTGTTATTCGCGGTGTTTCCCCTGTTTTGATACCATTACTCACTGCTTTGTTGTTTTTTTTTCTTTTGTATGTGCTGATAAATTATTTACTTCGAAAGTTGAACAAGTCAAAATCCTCACAGCCGACATAATCTTGTTGAGATATCTATTCAATGATCAGAAAAAAATAGCCGGTCGCAAAATAAGTGCAGTCGTAGCAAAATAATGCATCAGCGACTAAATGAATTATTGATGAGGTAAACAAAGAATGCCAAAATAGAAGGGGAAATCCCAAATACTTAATATATGTATGAATATATCTGTAATGCGTTTGATTGCTTTGATTCGATATCACAATATGCGCCAGTTTTGCAAAGCTCAAATTAGTAATGAAACATGAACGCCCCAATGACGGACACGATCGATCTCGACAAAATCGCCGATCGGTGGTAAAACTTGACTTAGCGCGGACGCTTGATGAATATAGCTAAGTGAGTAAGGTGTTGACCGAGAAAGTTCAGTGTCGTTCGGATGGGACAAAAATCTAGGTCCCGCGTACACGTAAAACTAAAAGAACCATAGTAGACCGTAGTCCCGTTCCCTCATAGCACACTATATGGCGCATGCTCGCCTTCATTACCCAAGTCGGTGCAGAACGGTAGGACATTAAGCCCCATTTCACTTGATTTATACAGAATTGACAAACATTGTTAATCCCGAGAGGCGTTTCTATTGAGTGAAGCCATATCCTCGCAAAAAATGAAACTGACAACAGAAAAGTGAAAGTTTCACATATTTTCGACATCTTCTCCGAAACCACTTGTGGGATTTCAATCATAATTGAGCAGATTTATTTCCAAGTAGCAAATTCTACTCGAATCGTCACAAAACTCTTGTTCTCTTGTTGCGTAAGACATAGGATGTCGTATGGACCTTCCATATTTATTGTAAAAGCATAATACTTACACGTAGCGTTGGTTTTCTTCCTCAACATCGCCGCTATATCCCGCTATATCCTTTTTAAACCACTCAAATCCAAACGTGTATCACAAAACATATGAGACGATATCCATGTGTGTGTACAGGTACATGACTGTATTGTTATTGATCATCGTCCGTAACAGGTAACCCGTTAGGTTACTGAAATACTTAATGAACAATGGCGTCGATTGGGTATAATATTTTTAGGGAAACAATGATGGTATTAACGTGGCCATCTTACAATGGTCAACGCCCAAGAATGGTTATTGGGCGAAATTTGGTCTACATATTGTTCGTCAATCAGTCACTGCCTCACCTCACAATTGTTTCTCACTTAGCGTCTACGCCTAAAATTCGTGTCACGCTTCTGAACAAAATGTATTGCAAAAAACTAACCAGCAAAGAAATATATCATATGTTAAAGATGTGATAATTTTACACATAATACCCAAAAGTTAATTTCAGAAGAACATAGATAAAATTGTGGGTAATTGAAATGTTGGTCCGTTCATTGTTTGAGATCGTGCTTATTGGTGAAAAGGAGTGGTTTGTTGAATCGTACAACCCACATATTTGCATTCAACTAATATGAATCTGTTTATTTGGGTTACATGACATATCTATTTATCACACGTTTACTCTTATTCAAGTTGGATGTTGGTTTTATAAATAGTTTATCCAGTTCAAGCTATAGTTGTAAAATTACAGTTATAATTTGTAAATTTGGTATGAAATTATTTAAAATTTGGATATGATGTACGGGTTTCTATACTTTGGGCGTTATTGACAAAGTCACCCTTGTCCGTTCTTGCCACTGTATTGCATCTAATATACTTTAAATTGTAGATGTTAGTTACAGGACTGGGCTAAGGAGGGTGGGTGGGGCACTGGACAACAGCCACTTTGCGTGAGGTCAATTAGAATCCGCTTACGTATAACCAAAGACTGATATTAATCTGCTCCCATCCTTAGATATTATGTACATGCCATTTTTTCAAGACAGTGAATTTTAACTCCGTATTTTAAACTGACATATTTTTGTGTTATTACTCTTTTATGCTTTCTTCATAATATAATATATAATGTATTGGACGTTAAAATTGAATAACCAACAACAAAAACATGGATATGTACATTTAATGTAACATGTCGATTCAAAGTCACGTGCAACCAAAACAAGCGTTGGCATAAAAGAGAAATGTGCTATTTTAGAGATGAACTGAGGAAATAATTGTTTCACTACTTTTTATCTATAGCTTCATATGAAGTCCGGGGTATTGTAATAAACCAAATGGATTTAGGATCTAAGAATGAAAATCTGTACGTTTCATAGACACGTTATATAATAATACTAATAAATCCATGAACAATATTGCTTAATATGAATATTCTTTATTTTCGTTTTCTGGCTATACCTGTCTTGATACGAACACTTTGAATATTAATTATGAGAATGTTTTAGTTTGGCGTAAGGATTAAATCAAACGTTTTTAATATTCGGTTATTGTTTGTGATTATGTTTAAATTTGGAGTGATTTTATGAACATATTTATTATAATGATAAATGTTCATTACACAAGCTAAATTTTATGTATTTATCCCTCTTTGCTATTCATAATTTATTACTTTAAAGTTTTCTTTTCTTTGAGTCATACGAAACAATTTTGAAAATTTGCTTCAACTCATTTATATAAATAACAAAAGTAACGGTAATATAATTTTACCTTCAAAAACTCCGGTATTACAGTTAAAATATCAGATAGCAGTTCAAATAATGTGTTAGGAATTTTATCAATACATAAGTCAATTGATGTCTGATTTAAGTCATTAAGAAAAATTATCTAGAATACTTTGTTCATTAACGTTTATTAGATTTTTGACAACTTCACATTTACCCTTGTCCATGTAACATAGTTCACAGCCTGTGGTTGTGATGCCTGACCTGATTCGCGGCTTAATCTGATCACAGCATGGGCTGAGAATTTAGTAAATACACCAAATTGGTTATAGTGAGCTAACAATAAAATCCCCTTCCCGATCACCGTCAAATCTGCCATTAACAGTTCTGAAGCCTGTCGATTTGCATATTGACAACAGTAAATTCCCAAACGAATTGCATAGTTCGTCCATATTTTTTTGCGAGTTTGGATATTTAAGATTGACTGATCGGGCTCATATAGGATTAGGTTTAGATAAGGAATCGTGCACAGTGGAATCATAATTAGTTGAGGCTCTACTGTTAAGATCACCGGTTACAATTACTGTGTTATTAGCAGTGTCATATTTCCCGATAAAGTTTTCTAGACAATCGAATAAGTTTGTTCCTTCATATGTACAACTGTACATAATATATTTTATTCTGTTTGATTTAATCTTTTAATTGTATCAGACGGTAAGCATTTAATCTCATAAACTCTGACTGATGGTGGACAGCTGACAGATTACTATTACAATTTATTTAATCTCTTAATTATATAATACGGTAATCAATTAAATGAAATGAAATGAATTGTTTTTTATGGCACGTCAGCAGGTAAGCAATTAATCTCATATACTCTGATTGACGAGCGTGAGTTTAAAAAATGGCAAAATGACGAAACTTCTTGAGATAACCCTGAAAGGAGAAACGTTACCATAATAGTAATCAAATGTTTTAATCAAGTTTGTAACAATCTTTAAAACGCACAAAGAAGGTGTCTTTTAAGGGCTTCGGAGATAAATAAGTTAATATTGTCGCGTGGATGCCTATTTTTGGCGAATGTTTGCTGCCTGCAGGGAATGCACGAGCGCGTGAATGAATTGTAATCATTCGAGAATTTGTCAGTTAAGAAGAAAAATGCGCATTTATATACGTAGGTTCCGTAGCATGCATATTTAAGGCTGCGGACCACCCTATTTAAGTGTTGTATTCCCCTGAAGTATGTACATGATTACCGGGTATATGGATAACGCATGATTGTCGAATTTAAAATACATTGATAAGACACTATTTGTAGGAGACTTACTCGTATGTATAAATGATATTATAAATAACATCAATATTGTCTGTATGTGTATTTCGTTCTTTTATTGGAGACACCAGTCAAGAACTCGGGAAGGGATTCCTTATAGTCAACCCGTTACCAACCGGAGAGGGGTGTGATCCCAGGCGTGCTTAGAAAAAACCCTCCTTTGATAACAGTACGTGAGTCTTTGTGATAAATGGGACCCGGATTGTGGATACAATCGTTGAACGCTACATTTGGAAAATGATGACCGGCTAGTCCCTTTTCATTTTTGGAAACAGCTCTCATCCATGGTTACAAACCTGTTGTAGGTACTTGATGACTGTCCTATAGCCAGTTTTGTGCATTTCACAGGATGGCCTGTAGTCCGGTGGCTGAAGGGTGGGGGGGGGGGGATCGCCACCTGAGCTGTGAATTTATGAGACCAAGTTTTTCTAGACCAGTTTTTTGCGTAGATTCCGAATCAGGCTGGTGATCAGGCGTTTGAGGGGGCATTTTCGAGATATAGGGGGTCAAATATCTACAATGGGGGGGGGGGGGGTGATGTCATTATGTTGACATAATATATTAATAAAAACATAAATTTCTAGGACTGCCCATCTATAAATAAGTGTTTACGATGCCCCTGGACAACTGTTTTGATTTATGGGGAGGTGGGGTGGGGGTAGCAGGTGTGGGCGTGTGGAGGGGTGGGGTGGGGATAAAATTGGCGAGGAAATGAATTCACGTTGATTTAAATGATGATTTTCTAAGAGCTTGATGAAACATATCTAAATATGTTTATAAGATTCCTATTGTATGGGGGTGACGCCGGGGTGAGTGGCCGCCGTGGGGGGGGGGGGGCGGTGCGGGTGATGGCGGGTGGCAACATGTATTTTGTGGACAGAACTCATTTTGTTCATAATTGAGCTTAAAGTGGTATCTCGTTAGCGTTTTCGTTCAAAATATTAAATTATAATGGTACTTTTCAAGAGATCTGGAAATGTAAATCAAAAACACATTAACTCAGAGATATGTTTAGTTGTTAGTTTATTCTTTGTCTTCATCAGAAGATTCAAAATCAAAAGTTCCTATGAGCGAGATAAATATTTTCTTGGTTGCTGGCCAACAGCTCGCATATCCTTTGGATATGCTTCAGGAACCAATTCACATTGTAAATCTTCATTCCAGTCATGCAGCAAAAGACCACGTATACGGCAAGGTGGTAATAAAGAAAGGTCGTTATTTTTTCACCCAGAAAATCTTTTTTCTAGCGTCATCTAGTGATGTAAGTCGTCTTTCGCGATATTTTCTACCTTTGCCCGTCTCATTATCGATCAAAATTTGTATATTGGGATGTCTATTTCGCCCGAGCAAGAATGCAAAATACAATTTGTTTCAGCCCCTCCATTAATTTGCAATGCGAAGAGGAGTAGGTAAGATATTTTGGTGTCCTTGTGGTAGGTTGTCAGTTCTAGAATATTCTCGACACTTTCAATATTAATCTTGATATTTTTTTATCCAATCAAGATTAGTATTGAAAGTGTCGAGAATATCTCGGCCTACGGTACATGCTTTCAGTGGTAATGACTATCTGTCTTTCTTTTTCAAGATAATCCTAACTTTCTAAGAATTTTTAAAGAGCTGGGATAGACAAATGATGCTTCTGATGACGTAATTGCTGGTTTAGAAAAAAATGTTTGTAGATGACACTAGAAGAAAGATCTTCTGGAGAAATTTTAATTGTGATGAAAAATAACAAAACTTTCTTTCTTTATTACCATCTTGCCCGAGTAGTCTTTTGCTGCGCATTAAACGCAATAATTATGTTGCAACAATATGGAGACAGGTTGCAAAATTAATGATGGAACAAGATGAATGGGTAACTGAAGCATATCCAAAGGATATACGCAGGCTGTTGATCAGCCATCAAGAGGATATCTATCCCGCACATATTATAAGAATAAACTAATATCTAAACATGTGTTTTTTATGTAAATTTCCAGATCTCTCGATAAGTACCAATATAATTTAATATTTTGAATGACGATATTGGCACTGAACGAAAACTCGAGAAAACACTTTTCAGGTCAATTTAGAACCAAGTGGTTTCTGTCCCCCAAAATACATTTACCCTCCCCTATACAACGGTAATCGTATACACATATTTAGAGATGTGCAGTGGAATTAAAAATAATGGTTTTACCAAGCTCTAAGAAAATCATCAACGTGAACTCACTTCCCGCCAAATGTACCCCCGCCCCCCATCCATACACGCACACCTGCTACCCACACCCCACCTCCCCACAAATCAAAATAGCTGTCCAGGGGCATCATAAACACTTATTTAAA